TTAATTCGCATTTTTTTTAAAAGTCTGTGTTTGAAAACCCTTCTCAAGATGATGGAAACTGGTTTCAATTTTTGCTTCTTTAGTTTTTAACCATACCTTATTGTTTAATAGTAATAGTAGGCCTAGTTAAAAAATATTCATACTTAAAATTCACTTTCCTTTTTTTTTTAAAAAGTTTTTTTTTAAAGGTTCATTGCAATGAAAATCACTTCCAAGAGTCTACCTTGACGTGATGGAGGGGCTTCCTGGCAAAGGGGCCAGGCTCACGGCGTACATGCTGTGTATGCATTCTGCATTGGGCTAGCGACCCATCAGAGTAAAACAAAACACCGCTGCAAAATCATTAGCAAATTCAAATTCATGCCCACAATATACGGTATCACAGAGAATGGAGTCCCTGAACGAAAGGGGAGCTGTTTTTGCAGAATACCTCCATTTAGCCGAGGAAATTCACCCAGGAACGTAAGCACAAAGCATGTGATGGGGAAGTTTATTACGCGGCAGAAACGCTGGGGAAGTACTACATAAGTACTCTAGGGGTCAGTGCCACGTATGCACTCTATGGGTCAGTAAGGCAAGATGGAAGCAGAGATGAGAAAGAACTATACATAAGTATTCTAGGGGTCAGTGCAACATAAGTATGCTAGGGCTCAGTACTACTTAAGTATTCTACAGGTGTTGGTACAATGTCGGTCTTCTATTAAGTTCTATAGGGGTCAGTACAACATAGGTATACTAGGGGTCAGTACAAAGTATGCTAGGGGTCATTACAAAGTATGCTAGGGGTCAGTATCAGTACAACATGCATATTCTGGGTAAGCAAGTCTTGGAGTTTAAGGCATGCACTTAAAACCATGGGTATCAGAGGCCACTATCAGGGCCGGCACTGGGGGAGGGGGTGCAGGGCTAAATAACTTTTTAGGGCCGCTGACGTTACATTCCCCGTCCGATCTGATATTAATACACGTCATTATAGTCTGGTCTTATTGGTCATAATGAGACACGTCATACGACTGGGCCTTACTTTGCATAATGTGACACCACTACCATGTATTTTTTCACTTGGTCAATTTGGGAAATTTCTTTAATTGTTTTTGAAACACTAGCATTGAAATTTCTTTTAGTCGATTGCTGCTAATCTCATGGTTGTCAAAAACTAATTCCAGAAAGGAAAAAAACCACCATAAAAGCCAAATGAAAATTACGCTCTTAAAGAGACTGCATAATGCAATAATTAATAATAATACGTTCAGACGGCAATCCGGCAGCTAATTAAATATAACTTTTTTGTGTGGAGAGTTCTTCATCGTTAAAGTTGTTAAGAGTGTCTCGTTTAATCATTAAATGACAATTTTGACAGTACATTCACTCTGAACTGAGACATTGATAATATCAAGTACGTTTTAATTGCAACTTTAATTATTATTATTTGTTTAAACTTTGTTTTTGCCCTTTGCGACGGTTCGTTATGCTCCAGTAATCATTTCTCTCAAGATTCTCAGTTCTTCTGTAAGTCAAAACCATCTACATTTCACGAATCACCATTTCTGATAGCCATGTTCCCAATCCACGCAGTGTTCGCTCAAATAATCTGTAATCATGGTGTGGAGTCGCTGAATAGCGCATAGAAACAATATTTTTAATGCAAAAATTACAATAACAGTTGTTGGAAACGTGGCTTCTGTACACCTCAACGTCTGATCTAACTAACCACAAGAAATATACTATTCTGCACGATTCTTCGAGGGTTTTGCTGTGTCTCGTCTCTAGAATCGTATCCGAAATTCCCCCATTCTTCGCCTACTACGGCGTTATTTAAACATCTGTTCGATGTTTGGTTCTGATGTCATTTCCTTTGCAGTGGTCATTGCTGATAATGTCATGTCATGCAGGGATTTTTAAAAAAACATTCCCCAATACTTAGTTTGAAAGACAAAGTATTTTCACTGTTCACTTTTAGGCTCTTCGCGCGATTAAACTTGAAGCGATAGTACGGGGAAAGGAAAGACTCATCATTTGATAATATTGTAGCTTGAAACATTGTGTTGAATGGAAATTACGACTATGGATAAACAGGGCGTGACTATATGAATAGTTAGTATACATAATAATTTAATGGCAATGCGCGGGGCCCTCACAAGCATGGGGCTTTGAGCGGTCGACTTGTTCGCCACTCCCTGCCACTATCAAGATGATCCAACGTTGAAAAAAATAATAAATCCTGATGAACACCCGAACCGGAGCCGCTAACTGATGCCCTTAGACATGGAGGAAATAAAGATTTCAGAAAAAGTTTGAAATCGTTAGAGAAGATGGCAAGGAATCGGAAGGCTATAAATTGTAATGCATGCCCTAATAATTCTAATATTGTCCACACTTAGTTAAAAGACAAAGAAGATGAAAAAATAAAAATGCTTTGAGATTTTAAAGAAATGTAGGCCTATGTATTATTTAATTTTAAATTTTAAAGTAAAATCATAAAAGACAAAAATTATAATTCGGTACCAAATAACATATATATATTAATTTTAATGATCATATGATTATATCGTTGGTATGTTAGTGTTTAAATCGTAAGATCAACACACTTACACTTACAAACTCAACACACTTACACACACATAATGACATAATTAATGATCGGAATTTTAATTTAAATATCGTCCAATAAATTTCAGAAAAATCATTTGAAGCATTGTACATAATATTACTGTTCAGTTCAATAAGAAAATTTGTATATTTCCTACATTCCCTTTTATTAAAAAAAATCACTTGTTACAGATGAACTTGACGAATTTTAAATTTCACGTTTGTCTGTAGAGGATGTAGAGAGCTCTAAATAGTAAAAAATTACGTTTGCCTTCGGAATGTCAAGATTTTGTTGTGCTCGTTCAAGGGCCAATATAATGGATACATTTGCATTTTAGTTTTAGCCACGCCCTCTCGGTCTAACTCATTTCTTCTTCTACCTCCATTCTATTGTTTTGCTAAAGGGTTGCATTCTTCTTCTGTGACTAGGTCTTATTTAGTCTCCGGTGATCATTTATGATTTTTTTTATGAATAGGAAATTTTTTTGTAAAAAAAAAGTGTTTCAGTGTAAGACGTGTTCCGAGTTCCATTATTTAAATTATTAGATTAGTTAAAATTGAAAGCCCTAATTGCATTAAATTAAATGACAATTCCATGTTAGGCCAACTTAGAGTAGAGTAGACTTTACAAATATGGTACATGAACATGGGGCATGGGCGCCCGCAGAAAACTTTCTAGGGGGGGGGGGCAAAAAAATCAATTAACTTTCCAGGGGGGGGGGGAACAATTTTTTTACATGGCATCAGCTTAGTTACTTTCTTTTTATTTTCTCTTTACTTTAATATATTTTTTGTCTATTTTTGTCTAAAAAATTTTTATCCAATCAATCCGGGGGGGGGGGCAAGTGCCCCACCTTACCCTTACCTGCGGGCGCCCATGACATGGGGTAAAATTAAACAGAGTTCGACTTACTATTATTATGAACTTTATTATTATTATTATTACTAATACTAAGATTTTAAATAGAAAATTTTAGTTTGCTTGCAGCTTAGTAGACAATGCATCATAATAAGGGCTTCAACTCAAAACATAAGTAACAGCTGTAAAATTACTTATAGATTTTAGGTGTCGCAGAACATGACAGCATAGTGAACAATACAAATTTCATAGAAAAATAATGGTTTTAACATACATAGGCCTATACAAGTTAAAGCTTGGTCGGTAATAATAACCGTAATCTTACGCATCTGTCCATAAAACTATGATAAACTAAATGCAGAATTAATGGATCACAACAGTTATACAAAACACGCTTACATTTTTAACCTTTATGTTGCTTTAAGATCATACATTTTGAGATAAGAAACAAAATATTTTGATTTATTTAAGAGCATCAGGAAGCGTAGATGGACACTGTTATAGTGTGTAAGGAATAGGCATAGATTCGATATTGCTTTTAAGAAACGATAATGACTGCAGAAAGTTAGCTAATTTTCAGTCATGGTACTCATGGCTAGGGTATTTGCCGCTCGGGATGAGAAAATATGACCAGGCCATTAGGCTAGACCCGCTTAGAATTAAGAGAAATGATAAACTTATATTAAACGAATCATTGAAAGATTACGACTCACACTCGATAAATAAAGTTTAATTTCTTGAGTGTGAGTCGCCAAAAATATTTAATTTATTATTCTTGCTTTTAAGGATGTCACTGGGCATGTGTCAAGTGTGGTGATAGGGAGTACTGTAACTGTAACCGTCCGTGGAGCTTTTCAGTTTAGATTTGGACTACATTATGACTTTAAAACTAAAAAATAATAATAATTTTGGCTATAAATAACAAGTAAAATCCTTTGAGGTTACAATTTTTCGGACAAATGCATTCAGATTCAGGGTTTAGAAATTTATTATCGGTTATGTACAAATATGTATTTTTATTTTTGCTAGCGGGCACTACTAATACTAATGAATATTCAGATAATGTCGCGCAGAGAAGGATTATGGGAATGTTAGGTAAAAAAACAACAACAACAAAAAAAAAACAATCGATCTACTATAGATATTTTGTATGTAAGTATAATATTCATATTCAATTAATACAGATAAGAGAAACTTTATTTGAATGAAGAAAACATATACAGATCTTACTGGAGGTACATTTAAAGAATGTAAAATGCCAAATCCCATATATTATCTAGTTATTGTAGCAAAAAATTGGCGGGGAATAGCCTTTCTCTTATTGGCTGTTGTCCCACACCTGAACATGTATTCTTATAGTGTTGTAGCTTTTTTTGGTCTCGCCAAAAGACAAAAATGAAAAAAATTAGCGAACATTTCAAATTATTAATTTTTAAGTCTATCTTATTATCCAGCTTTTTAATTAGCATATTTATAAGGCTTAGAATTACTAATAAACAATAATTTACATCATTCTTACACCCGATGTCCGCCATTTTGTATTCGCGACATCTTGTGTTAAGAAAATCAACATGGCGCGGTTGCGTTTTCCTGGACGGCCTGGCAATCGATTTGATCGGTATGGAATAAGATATGGTGCCGATGAAGCTAGGCAAACTACAGATCCAACTCTAGCAATAGTAGCCAGCATTCATAAAGGTTTACAACGATTCAGGGACTTATTCGGAGATTCAGACGAGGTACATAAACTATCCCCACGATAACACACACTCTCCTTTTCAAAATGGCTTCCTTCGATTTGTCATTATTAGAAATTTTACAATCAATGAATCACTACATTATTACTTACGTTTTTTTATTGCATCTGCATAAGGGAATATGATTGTCTGAAATAGTGTGAGTGTTTACTTACTCGAACTTTAAATATTACCGTAAATATCGAATCACAACAATTGGTCTACCGGGTCACACTACTAAGAAATCATAAATGAGGATGAAGTACCAAAACACTTCTTATTCTTAGCAATTTGTCATTTAAGCCTTGGTCTACAATCAGTTGCAATGTATATAGTATATGTAGATGACTTTAAAGTTGAATTCGTATTTTACATGCAGTCTTCTTGTCAGTTGATGAGATCATCATTCAAATCAAAATGAATTATTCAATGAATTGGCTCTAATGTCATGACCATGATCTTGATAAATAAAATAATAAAGTTAAAGACTAACACTGTTGACTAAGTAATCACTAATGAAAATGAAGCAAAGTTTGCCATTTTATTAAACAATGGAAAAGTATGAATGGAATAGGTCAATTGACTTAAATAATTTTAGATCAGAGTAAATAGACCATAAATTAGTGTTGTCCTTGCCTTATCAGTTAAATATCTTAGTCTGTTGAATAGCTTATGCTTGCCTATATTTTGAAATTTGTGTTTAGTGCTCTTCAAAAATGGGATTATTTGACATATGTTGCATAATCTGGCATGAAGTTTAAAACCATTTCAAGAGAAGAAGTTTTCTAATTTTTCATTCCTATGAATTGTTTTTTTTTTTTTTTCACTTTCTGAATGGATTATAATTCTCCAGCAATTTGTTCCAAATTAGGAAGTCAATTCTGATAATGATTTTTAAACATAAACCATTTCAAGAGAAGAAGTTTTCTAATTTTTCATTCCTATGAATTGTTTTTTTTTTTTTTTTTTCACTTTCTGAATGGATTATAATTCTCCAGCAATTTGTTCCAAATTAGGAAGTCAATTCTGATAATGATTTTTAAACACTCAAATTAATTTTAAAAATCTTGCTGTCTAAATTATATAAGAATCACATGACATTTCTAGCTTTAAATGGCACATATTATTTTAAGCTCATTCATACCTATGCACTAATATAACTTTCTTTTGTTTTATCATGTTTAATAACTTAATCATCTGGGTTTAATTTCATAATTTCTAAAATTTATTATTCTCTGCAGATGTGAATTAATGAAAAATAATTCCTCAATAATATATACAGTAAATCGTTATTTTTTCTGAACTAATTGGAAACATTGTTTTTTTGGATAACCAACTGACACGGAAAGGTTGCACTAAAGAAGCTTGCGTGAAGAAAACAAATATTCTTACCTGCCTGATAATTATTAATGTTTGGTGCTTTATTGCATTTCTTTTAACCTTTTTTTTGTGCTTGAGGCCCACTTTTTAAACATTTATTTATCTCCCTGGTCCCCTTCCTGTTATTAATATTGAAAAACAGCTCTTTTTAAGTCCCTTTTCTCCAAGTTTTCATGGTTCACAAACAAGTTTGATGGGGGGGGGGGGGGGGGGCACACAACCATATGTGATATGTGATAAGTAGCTGATTGATATTAAAAAATGGAGAGAACTGGAATTATTTTATAAGAAAAGGGGTTGTTTTCAAAGATAGATGTCTGGCGCTTAGAAAAAAATCTGAGGTCATGTTTTTTCTTTGTAGATGTGTCATCTGTGACATATGTTAGTTAACAAGTTTCCCAGTCTGGTCTTTGCAGTTTGAATCTTAGATCATACCTGAATTGTGTGACAGGGGCGGGAATTGTTATCTGATGTTTGTAAATAAATGTCTTATGGCATTGCATAATATTATATACGGATACCTGGTATAAATAAGGACATGGTCTGTTCAGATAACCTACATTTTCAAATATTGGCGTCAGAAAATGAACTTTACTGTATATGAGTATAAAATATAAAGAAGTAATCAATGTTATGTTTGCTTATCAACCAAAAATATAACTAATTTTAACCTAATTATTACACATTTTTTTTTGTTTGCAGGATGATTTTGAATTTGAAGGATTCACCCCAAAAGAAGTTAAGGCAGCTGAGAAGAAACTCCAGTATGCTATTGAAAATGAGAAACTGTGTCAGGAAGAGAAAACTCAGCAACAGAAGACAAGATGTGAGAGAACACGGGCAACCCTTGCCAGCTTGACAGCTTGTGATGATATTCCAAGGACTGTCTCCAACATTTCAAAATTTAAAAAAACATACAAAAAAATTGTAGAGACTGGAATTGTTGTTAAAGCACGACGCAGATTAAGACAAACATTAGCTCAAGATGTTGCTGAGGTAAAAGCTTTATTTCCCACAGAGAATGGTGCACCACACCCCAAAGTGAATACTTTAGCTGCGCATGTTAAATTAAAGCCACCAAATCAACAGCCAGTTTTCCGTAGACCAGTTGGGAGACCAAGTAAAAAAAGCGTTAACAATTTAGGAACTACAGCTACTGACTATCAAAATGGAGTTGGTTATGATAACTCAACTGCTCCTGTATCACTATTCCCGCCAAAACCTTCATCAAAGTATAAGCATGCAGCTAAACAGATTTTGGCTAGAGCAACTAAGCAAGCTGCTATCTCCAGCACCAGACACCTCATGGCACCCACCCATAAAGTTAGAAAATTTGTTTTGCCCACAAAAAGTTCCAGATCTTCTCGTGTGATTAAACCTAACAAGAGGTTCCTTGAGGATGACAGCATCCATGAGCTGGTTGCCAAACAGCCAAAACTCAGCCCCACTTTGCCCACTCCCGCAGCTACTTCCAACACCTCTATCTTCGGTATGCGCCTCTATGATGATAAATCAAACACATTTTCAGTGTTTCAAACGCATGGATTATCACTCTCACCTTTTAACATGAACCGGGAAAAAGGTTTTCCAGCATTTTCAGCAGCACCACAGCCAAGCGGCACAGCCAGTTTCACTGATGGAATCGGGAATCATAAGCCCTTGGGATCTCTTGACCAGCCATTAATTATTGAGGGCAAACGGCCTCGAAAGCCCAGTTTAATAATGAGGATGAAGCTTGTTGAAGATGATCCTGAGGATGAGATAAGGTTACAGCAACAACTTTCTGATACAATTAGTCCGGCTAAAACTTCTTTCCTTGACATTCAGAAATCACCTTTGGACCAGACCTCTTCACCCTCCTTGCCATCCCTTTCTAAAATCTACGGAGGCACAAAAAGTTTAATCGCCCCTGCTAAATTGTTTACCAGTCCATTATCATCATCTTTATCAAAGTCATTGAAACATCACAAATTTGGCGTCCGGCATGCTGTTCAAAATACAGTGGTGCTTCGGCAGCCTAAACTTCAGCTTAACCGAACTGCTCTCAACCGCTCTAAAGCAGCCCTGGCAAGATCACTGAAAGCCCAATTAAAGAGAGAGGCCAAGCTTGAGAGGAGAAGGAAGTCCCAACATGCATTTGGTGTGCTACCCACATCCACCCACTCCCCAGGTTCAGCCTTGTCTCAGCTTTCGCCATTTTCCAAACTTGTTGGTGACTCGGCCATTGAGAAGCATAAGTCTGGATTATTTGAGGGGATAGAAGCAGGAGCTGGATCCTTTTCACCAGGCAGTTTCAGTATGTCATGTCTTTCTTAATCATTAGTAAAATAACAATTTTCTAAATAAAATTTAAAGTTTTAATAATAATATGACAAATTTATGAGTTTTGTTTTTAAAAAAATGTTCATACTTTTTCAAAATTGTCATAGGTAGTCCCCCCGCCACACCAGTCCAACCATCCAAAGGGATTAAAGTGGAGATCAAAGAAAGTTATCAGTCTTCCTTGATAAAAGATGAAGTTTTGCTGATGAAATACACCATAGGTGGAAAAGGCAAATGTATTATTTGCTCAACTATATGTGTAATCAAGAATAATCGCAAGCTGCCCAAAGTTCCTATTTGTATATGCTGCAAAAGAACCTATGTTTTTAAACGCAGTCATAGCAATGCCACTTGTAAAACAGGAGGTAAGTTCAAGTTTGGTTTATTTTCTACTTCTTGTGTTTTGGAACGTTCGCTCGTCTCACAGTATTTTATTCTGTATTTTGCCAAGTTTAACCGCCAAATTGTTTTATATTAGTGTTATGTCTTTTCCAAAAAGATTATTAATATTTATTAAATTGAGGATGCATAACATTTTGGTCATACAATACTTCATATCTCCAAATGAAACTTGTGGTTGTTTAGTGAATTACTTATACCCATCTATTTTTATTTTTAGATTGTTAATCTAGCTTGTTTTTAAACAAACCAATTATATCTACTCTTTGCACCATTTTTACCTTCACAATTAAAGGTCGGTGTAATGTGCACTACTCAATAAATGATTGTGCTGACTGTAAATACAGAAAGTTCAAAGCTGTGCTCCAAAAAGCCATGAGGCTTAACTTGATTAAAGATAAAGCACATGATACTCCTTTTCTTGGGACTTTAGAACCAGTAAGTATTAAACTGATTCAGTATTCTATAAAAAAATATATATTTTTTATTGGTGGGGTTGGGTGGGTGGTGTGTTTGTGTGGATATGGAATAATCACACAGATTAAATTAGGGAAGCGCATACCTATCCTGCATGTTGTATTAGACTTGCCCAGGGCACCTAGCAACTGATCTACATGCTCATAACACATAGCTTACCTCTTTTACCACGTGGATGTAGCTTTTTATATGGAGGAACTAAATATTTTATCAGATATCTACTTTTTGCTACACAATTGCAAGGACTAGAAGTTAAGAATGGTTTACCAAGCTTTTGAGAGTTTTATGATCAACCCTGGAAACTGACCAATGTAGAAACTATGGAACAACAGGAAATAACCTCGAACATTAGCCCTAGTCAAATATCCTGTTTTTTCCTCAAGTATTTGCTAAATAGCCTCGAACATTAGCCCCAGCCAAATATCCTGTTTTTTTCTCAAGTATTTGCTTCGGGAAATAATACTATTTCTATCCATATGAATACAATAATATTTATTTCAAAATTAGGAATTTCAAGGAAATTAAATAAACTAGAATCATTAGTAATTCAGACCTGTTTACTCTTACGATTTTGGCATACAATGTACGATTTTGAGGTGTATAGATTATAAATACTGTATGTTTATTTTTTTACTATTAAGATAATGTATTGAAGGATTTTGTGATGATATTGTACGATTTTAAGAGTTTGGGGATAAACAGGTCTGGTAATTTAAAAAAAAATTGATTCACCTCATATAATGAATTTGATAGTAAATATAGATAATTAAAAGTTCAATTATGCAGACTGTAGATATATCATCAGGCTTGACAAAGGGATTGAGTTTACATTCTTGCAACCTTATTGTTTACCGCTGGGGGTGTATAAAAGGTTTTTAAACTCTATGCACCATGTGGATAAATTAATTAAATATTTTTGTACATCATGGATATTTTAATTTTCTAAATTAATTTGAACACTTTATCTCCCCAAACCTGAGTTCACTAGTTCATGATATTAATCAAGAATTTAAGATAAAAAGCCATTTAATATTAAATTAAATTAAGAAATTTATTTGAAATTTTAAAAAAATGCATTACAGCAATAAATCAATTTTAAAAAGTTAGTTTTAATGGGAATTATGTCACTTTGCCCACATTATAACGAAGTGCCTTCAAAAGTTTGTATGGCTGGCATGGGTAAAATTAATCACCCTCCTTTAAGATGGTATGAAGATTTATCTCCACCTCTGAATTTTATAGTAACCGGATTTGGTTCTTCATTTTTTGTTCCGTTTAATTTACTCAGGTTTTCAAGAGAAGGAGAAGGAGGAGGTGCAGAATAACTGGTGAGCTTAAACCAATTGATGCACCTACATCAGGCCTTAAGGATGAAAAGGCAACATTGCCGTCTGATGAGATCAAGGTACCGGTCTACACTAATTGTCAGCCTTATTTATTTTTAAATAGAGTGGTTGAGATTATTTTTTTTTCATACGAGACACTTGTTTAAATATATATTCTCAATGATAGTGGGGAAAGAAGCTTAGATCACAGTGTACCTTTGACTCAAAGCAATTTTTTGCTGGAAGAACTATTTGAAGCAAAATGCAGTTGAAAAACTTTAAAAAATCATTTCTAGGATACATCCCATGATCTTCATCACAGATACTAAAAATCAGTTGGATCAGAACAAATTCTTTCCCTCAAAGTTAGGTCCGAAAAGATCTAAAAATTCATTTGTTCCCCAATAAGTAAGAATTTACCATTGTGCTCCTCAGGCTGTTAAAAAATCTCAAATATTCTTGGTTTTGGGACATTTTTTTCTCTGTCATTACGTACCTTTACAATCTTGCTGATTGTTAAATGAAGAACATTGGGTACAAATAAACAAATATCAGTTATGAAATATGACAATTTCTGTTTTCCAGAAACTCATATATATTTAACGAAGTAAACGCATTGTCTTTGATATTCTCTCTGTTGTATAAACCCAATAAAGAGTTGCACATCATTTCTTTATTTCAAGTAACAATTGCAGTTTTAACAGCATGCTGAGTTATAATCCTTCATATTGCTGCATCAAAAACATTAGCAAAGTTTGCCACCATTTGATTGATTCTACTGAATTTAAAAGACTAAAGCTATAGATCTTTATAATTATTCAAGACATGCATTTTGTTTTCTTAAGAATACAATAAATATAACGTAACTATTGCCAGAACACTAGAAAATTCATGAAAATGAAAGAATAAGGCTCTCGGCCACTGTTGTTTTCTTTTATCTACGATATTGTTGCTACATTTGTATTTATTCCAAAGATATCTTTTATTAACTAATTTTATCACATTCCAATCAACTAAGCACAGTATTTGCATTCAGATTAACTTATAAAAAAAAACAAGAAACATTTATACCGTCAAATTAGACATTGAATCTGCAAGAACCAATAATTCATTTACAGTTATGTTGTTACACACCGGTGTTGTGTTACACTTATGAAATGAGGATGTCATATCCTCTCCTGTGTCTTTTAATAATTCAATATGGTTGCTCCAGGGACCATATTTATTTACATTCATATATCCTTTTCATCTGGCCCAGATGATATTATACTGTACCTGCTTATCAACGGTTTACTCAGTTTTTCTTTTAGAAATATATACTGTGTAGGCCTGTATATTGGCCTAAACTGTATACAGAACTGTGTAGGCCCGTATATTGGCCTAAACTAAAGCCATTTATGAATTCCATAATCAAGTGAATTAACTCCTTTTATCCTGTTACCGTTCAAACAATTCGAGCTTGTAGGTGAGAAGTCCAATGAGTGTGTTTTGACCCGTCGTAACAAAGAAAAAAATAGTACCTTCAATAGCAAACTTTCATTTAGGCAAAAATGCACAAAATCATCAGCAGTTCTGTCTTTTTCTTGTTTTTATCTGACTAGTATCACTTCTTGACTTGAAATATAATGAACAAAATCTTTGGAAGATAAATCCTGAGCCTTTTTTGTATCATTATATATATTATAATGCCCTTCAGTGAAATTTAACAGGATTGGCAAAGTAGCAGATGAAAATCGTTTCATGAATAAAACCAAAAAATGAAGCACCAAAAATACAACAAAAAATATCTAAGTTTACACTTAAAATTTATATCTTTAATGAATTTACCCATGACTTAATAGTTGCATGTTAAAAATAATTTTGGTATATAAAAATGTGAGAAAAAAATAAAGTTATAACACACCAGTCACTAGTGACCGAAAAGTCGAGATGACTTACATTGAGAGTTAAAGTCAATAATGTCACTAAGGGAGTGAAGTTCCTTGATATGATGACTGATTTTGCACTTTAGAAATAATTGAGATTTCCTGTGTTAAAATTGTTCTAAAAAAAATTTTTTGTATTTATTTGAATCAATAAAAGAATACTATCTCATATTATCTTATAAGAAATTGACCTGATTTTAAAAAAAAAAAAATTTATTTGAAAAATATCTTTTTTGGGTGCCTGCTAAAGCTAAATTTCCTAACAATTCTTTTTTTTTTTCAAGATGGAGGCAGCAACACCATTAAAGAAGCAGAGACATAGAAGTGCTGATTCAGATAAACTGCAGTCACATAAAAATGGAGAGGATATTTTTTCAACATCAACACCTGTTCGACAAAGGCATAAACATCGTAGTGGGGATGCCTCTTTCTTTAGCACTGGTACTCCAGTCAGATCCAGACAGAAGCACAAGAGTGGAGATAAAATTGTAGAGACTTCAAGCTTACGGCGACCTTCCAAACTATTAACTCAAAACAAGGACTTGATTAATGCAAACAATCTTGATCAGCCATTGTCTGTCGATGTTGGGCAGGAAGCTGATGAATTCAGTAAGTTCAGAATATTTATTCATTTGATCATTTCAGAATTGATTTAGCCAGGCTAAGGTAGTTAATTTCGAATCCATTCATAGTCAAAGTCAGTTTAATTTGTAACATTTTTTATTTAGCTGTCTCAAGTTACAATTTGATGAAATTTTGATGCTTCCTCATACATTGTAGACCTCTCTCCTCCACAATCATCATCCTCTCCGGGGAAAGGATCCAAATCTCCCAGTAAAAAGGTGGGTGTAAGTGACAGTGATAATAAAATGTCAGATGATGATGGTGATGTTGACCCAGATGGGGGAAGATCAAGAGGAACATCTAGGGGTCCCAGAATCAAACATGTTTGCCGTAGAGCAGCCATGGTTTTTCCACATCAAAGAGCAACTTTCGCAGAAGATCCCCTGGCGAGACCAACCTTGACCTTGAGTGCATTGCCAACTGAGGAAAAGCAGCAGTTGTGGGCCAAATCAAAAAGTAAACAAGATATAACAGCGGGTTAGTTTGCTTACACTGTCTAATTTCATTCTTAAAATTTATTAAAATTTGTTAGGTTTGATTTAAATTTTTTAAAATAAGCTCTCAATAAGAAATCAATATATTTTATTTTTAAAAGGGGGTTTGCAGAAATTTAGCCACATTACTGGCTAATAATGGAAAAAGTAATGGTCCAACTCTAATTTTAACTCAACAGGTTTGGTATAAAACAAACTTCAAATCTGCTATAAACAAACCAAAAAAAAAATTTGCTATTAATCTTTTTTTTTCTTTCTAAAAGATTCTTCAGGCGAAGAAAGTGGGGATGATAAAAAACCCCTGACCAGGCTGTCCAGCTTCAAGTCCCCTGAAAAAAAGATGTCCTCACCAAGAGAAGAAAAGGCAACAGAAACAAAGAAAGAAGTAAAGCCCCCAAATTTTGTTGTAGACCTAAATGAGACAAAAGGTGTCAGAAATTCATCAGACATATTAACACTTGCCCATAAAGTACGGAAAAAAAGGTGTGTACAAAAAGAGCAAGAAAGTTTTTTTTAAAATTGTTAATAAAATGATGTTGATACTTTTTTTTTTTTTTGATATAAAATCATAGCACTAATGTTATAATGTGACTTTTTATTAAATCATCTCTTTTAGGAAAATAAGTTTCTAAACTATAGTTTTTTTTTATGGGCGCTGAAGAAAACAATTTTAGGTTAATGCTTTTATTCAATCTTTTTTTATTTCAGCCTTGTCAGGCACAAATCGGTTAGAGGATACACTAGAAAAATTCGTTGTCGTGAATGCAAAGGCTGCAAGACACCTGAGTGTGGTGTATGTTATTTCTGCAGGTAGCGTTGCTTAAATTTAATACATGAATTTTGTTTTTAGCTTTTTCAAGTAGGTGCAGTTGTTTTTTTTATGGAGAAGAAAGAAACAATCCCCTAAATAAATTGTGTTAGACTTGAGGGTTTATAACAAAAAGTATCTCATTATTTTCTTAAATTTAAATTAAAAAAAAAAAAAATGACGAAAACATAAAGTGTTCATTCACTTGCTTCTCGCTTAATCCATCCCTGTGTCGCTACGGCCCATTTATTAGAGCTGTTTTCCTTTGGGGTGTTGGTGGTGCACCCTCTTAACTTCTCTGTTATTTGGCATTCTTTCTAATTGTCCTGCCCTGCGTAGCCTGCCTGCTTCTTGCTTAAACAAAGGGATACAATTTTTACTAAACTATTTTTCCAAACTTGTTTGAAAATGTGTAATTCTCTAAATTGATTATAAATGTTTTTCTTTACTAAATATTTTCATATAATTGCAGGGATAAACCTAAGTTTGGCGGACCTGGTAAAATAAAAAAATGTTGCATGTAAGTTTTTTCAGGATCAAAATTATTTGATTCTATGATTTGCTTACTAAAACCATTTTGTTTTGGTTAGTTAACTTTTATCCATTTGTTAAAGAATTAAATTGAATCTGATTCTGAAACAGGGATTAAAAGAATAATATTATAAGACATTCACAGTTAGGAACCATTAGCTTTGCTGTTTATTTGTTGGTACGTGATTTGAAAATCTGTCTGTAAATGATCTACAGTGCTAATTGAAATTTCATTCCAGACATTCAGTCTGCCTGGCCCCAAAGATTCCCAGGAAAGCAACCGATGCTTTCATTGAGCCAAAAAGCCCAGCAAAAACAAATCGAAGGGATGATGACGATAACAGCGGGGATTACCGACCATCTAATCAGAACATAAGCATCAATGCCAGTGGGCCAACAACAAGGTTTCAGGACAAGAAATCAAGCAACCCCCATAAAATAGATGGTGGTGGAGATGGGGCAAAGGACTCTGAAGAAGGTTAGCACCAGAGAAAAATTTTGAAAATAACATTTAAAATATCTGGTTGTTATTTTTGTAAAAGTAAAATTCTATTATTAAAGGACATATGATTCAAACTGTTGCAGAAATTATTTTTAAAAAATAAGCATAAATTCTTCGAGACATCAGAGCAGCACCCTGAATGTTTTTTTAAAAAAAGTGGGGGAAAAAAAGCATTACATTGAAATGAATCACCGTTCATACTGATTGCAGGCTGTATCACAGGAGAGTTGGGGTGAAAAAATTTTTCTGTGTTTCTGGGCAAATGGATTAAATTTTTTTTCCATGTAAAATATTTTTTCAATTTATTATGTAAAGTTGTTCCGTCATAGTCTTTATGCTTGTAAAAAACAATTTTAAATGATGTGCTTTCTTAAAAAATGTTTTTAGAAATGAAAGAAATGACACCAGATGAGACGAACAGCATGAAGATTAAGCCATCACCATTGTCTTCATCTTCGAAGTACTGTGGACTTGATATGGACGGATCTGGCCCCAGCAAGAAAACTGTCACCAGCATACACAACAAGCGGACTGTTCGTTATGGCAAAGGGAAGTATAGCCCAGCTGTGGAAGCTACCATTCAGCTTGCCCTGACAGATATAAGAAATCCATTCATGAATCGAATGGCTGAGGTTTACAACAGGAAGTTCGGAATCAAACGAAGAGATAAAGTAAGCTGAACATTTTCATTTATTTTAGTCTGTATAAATTTGCTCTATTTGTAAGTAATTTTAAAAACTTGGAAGAAAAAATTCAAAGTTTTTGTCATTAATATGATGTTTTTTTCTCTTCCAGATGTTAGCACCACAGAAGCAACAGTCTCAAGAGCTCAAACTTATTGAAAATCAAACAGCTTACTGCTTTGATGTTCCATTGAAAACACACTTGATCAAAGCTGACTATAAGGTTAGAGATAATAACACTTTCCTTGAGAGTAGGGTTAAAATTTACAGATGTTATTATGAAAAATAAACTTTTAAATTTTTCCTAGAGTTATACAGAAAGAAAAACATACTAGTTCATCTCTGAGAGGTTTTGAACACTCTGTTACCCAAAAATGTAAAATACAGGATCTAGCCTTTTTATTTTACTCAAAACCTATTTCACCTCAAAAACTCCATACTGATACAGATAATTTATCAGATGGAAAATAAACATCTGCCTACCTGATTTTTGCAGGATGACTTTGATTTGGAAACAGTTTGGTTCCATGGGTTTTCTTTGACACTGACTGGCACCAGTTGCATTAGGACTTTGTGTTATCTTTGTGGCTCAGCAGGAAAGCAGGAGGTCTGAGCAATTAAAAATTTTTTTTGTTTATTTCAATTTTTACTAGTAATTTTCATGTTATCTGTGTCAAATATTTGTTAAGTTAGGTGCTTAAGTTTTCAGAAGCTCGCTTAGATTTGAGGGTTTTGAGTATTATTATATTATAAACCAGGAACCAATGATCAATCGATGTGAAGGACTTAGCATTTCAGTTATAAGATCACTAATTTAAACGAGGTTTTATCATAATCTATGTATATTATAATAAGTATTGTATAAGTTTTGTTCAGCTTTATAATTCCATTTCTCTCCAGTTGATTTTCTGCATAGTTTGCTGTCAGCCATACCACAATTTTTGCCTGGAGGAAGATGAAAGGCCAGACAATAGTGAGGGTGAGGAAGGTGAAGAAGCCTCTGGTGAAGACACCCATCAGCATGGCACAAACAACTCAACTCTCACCTGGTGCTGTCGAAGATGCCAGTTTTGTCATGTTTGTGGACAGCAGAATGGATTATTGAAGGTTCCGTTCTACTGTTATATTCACTAGCTATAAAATGCATATTGATTATAAAATGTGTTGTAAAAATTTAAAAAATGAGCAAATCTAAGAATTAAAAGATTAAAGTTAGTTAGATTAAGTTAGTTTATCCTAATATGCTATATTTTTTAGTGCCATAGATGTAAAGACACTTATCATCCCGAGTGTCTTGGTCCCAACTACCCAACCCGTCCCTCACGTAAAAATATTTGGGTGTGCACCAAATGTGTGCGCTGTAAAAGCTGTGGTGCCACCACTCCAGGGGTTGGAACAAATGCGACTTGGACTTATGACTTCTCTTTGTGTTATGACTGTGGAAAGCTTATGGACAAAGGTAAGAGTGAGAAAGATACAAAATCTATCATTAGTTAAATTTCACACTAGGACACTGTGAACAATTTTGTGCTTGAAGTTACACCATGTTGATTGAAACTCCCAAAATAAAATTTTTAAAATAATCTGATGGCTACTAGAAAGAAGAAAAAAAAGGTATTTATTTGCAAAAAATTAAACTTATTGAAAATGTTTTTTTCCCAGTCATCGCTGTGTCACTGACTAATCATGTTTCCTTGTTTATTCTTACAGGCAACTTCTGCCCAGTCTGTCACAAGTGTTACTCCGATGATGACTGGGAGTCAAAAATGGTCCAGTGTGCAACTTGTGAGAGCTGGGTGCATGCCAAGTGTGAGGAGTTGTCTGGTAGGTTTTTATTTTGGTTACTATAGTTTAACTGAACTCAAGAATTCAAAATTAGTTTACTTGTCAATATTGAATGAACTTTAATTCCTTATGTGAGTCATCTTTTAAGTTATAAAAATTAAGATGCATCAACTGATACATAAATGTTATGACATAAAAATGGTGTATTTTTATTAATTTACAGATGAAATGTACCATCTTGTCTCACTCCTGCCTGAAGAGGTCCAGTTCACATGTCGTGTCTGTTCCACTGAGAAGCCAGCTTACTGGGAGCGTGTGCTAAAAAATGAGTTCTCCAGTGGGTTGTCCAATGTGCTGAATGCTCTCATAAGCTCCAAATGTGCCCAGATGTTGCTGGAAGCTGCGCCACCTGTGAGTTTGGTGAACCAGCTTAAAAAAATTACATTTCATTGTCAGTCCTATGGATTAGTATTGTTTTTAAGTGCTATAGGAGGAGGTTACCGTTCTCCGTGCTAAAAAAAAAAAAAGGCTCCTCGTCAAAATTATGTTTTTTAGACACCCCCCACAGTGAAGGGCTAGTAAAACTAAATGAGCTTAAACTTGATCAGATTAAATATAGATCTACAGAAAGGCATAAATGCATTTTAAAATTACATTTTTCTTATTTAAACACAGAGAGAGACAAAGAAACTAAGGCTCTCCAAAAGCAAAACGCTTGATGACTCAAAAAATTGTGAAGATTACAACCTCTCCAACAACATGGCAGAAAAGGGGCCCAATGACGCATGTAATAATTCCATTACAAGAACTGAACCTGATATTCATAATGCATTAAGTCTGACAGAAAAGCCTGGCAACACCGCAAGTGTTAGTTCAGACAGTCCAGTGGTGACAGCTGTGTCACGACTGGATGAAAAAATAGTAGAAAAGTGTGATTGTGATGGAGCTGTGATTATAAATGACCTAGACAGAGCCAGCATGAATTCTAGGGCTCACAAATGTGACAAGTCTTTTTGTAGTTTTAACAATGTAAAAGGTGATAGTGCTTCAGTGACGGAGTATGTCCAGAACCACAGGAACAAAAATATTTACTCCGACTCTCCTGTGATACAGCCTGTTGTTGCCAGTTTCATCGGTGATTCATATCAATGTACTGCTGATCTGTGTGAATCTAATGTGCAGTGTGTGACCTTTGATCAAGGTCAAAATAAAAATTTTAATTCTTTGAGTAATAGGCAAAAAGAACAAAATAGGACACAGCCTTTGAATGAAATGGGGGAACATTTGGCCTTACAAAAAAGCAACTGTGATAAAAATTTAATAAACAAAGACTCAAGTGGTACATTTTTAAGCGCAAATTCCAACATTTTGACTGTAAATTGTGACTCGGCTATTTCTGTGGAGAGTGCTTTAACTGATGCAAATTCGCATGCTTCTTACATTTCCCATAAACTTCTGAAGGGCTCCGCTCTTGATTCTTCATTAGCAGACGCTTCATCCATATCCACTATTCCTAATAAAGATTCTGTGTCAAAAAACCTATTTCAGGATTATAGTATTTCTTCATCCCATAAAAATTTGTCACATAGTACAGGGGCAAATTTACCCAATTCAGACAACCTGTTTGCTGTAAGTAACCATCTGAGCGATTCCATAACCAATGAGATTTTAAACAAGACATCACAAAATGGAGAAAAGTCTATGCAAGACAAAACTAAAGAGAATACCAGTGATCAAAATCCGACAACATTCCTTGGAGGAGGTGAGGTGACTTCGACAGAAAAAACAGACGTAATTAAAGGATTATTATCCAACACTAGAGAAACAACAGGAAAAAATCACCTTCTATCTCGTAAGACATTTTTTTATTCACGTTTTAGAAATTAAAAAAAATAAAATAAATTCATTTGCTCATTTAAGGTTAAGATATTCCCCTTCCCTGTTAAAATGAAGTTTTTAAATAAACTGCCCAAGCGGGAATGCTTTAACATACAAATTTTTGTGCATGCAATAATTGCACCAAGCATGGAAAAGAAAAGCATTAGTTAGGTCTGAGTGGAGGGAAGTAGTGAGGCAGGCCAAAGCCCTACATGGGGCTGTAGCGCCACAGGGAGGGATATGTTAGTTATGAAGTTTTTTTTAGTTTGTCATGTGTTGAAATTGAATCTTCACTTTAAAATATGCATTTAGAATGTTAAAATTAAAAAGTTTTACAAATTTTTTAACAGCTGTACAAAACCTGTTCTACGATAGACAACTTTCAATTTGGGAAACGCTGGATAAGAATGGGATCTACCCTAGGGACTTCCAGTCCATTAAGCTTAAAATAGACTCTGGATCCTACAGTTCAGTTGTGAGTTGAATTTTTCTTCCCTGTACTAGGTGATTTGTTGCTGCTTATGGTGTCCCAATTAACAGGGGCATTTCATTACCTCTTTTTATATAGTCCCCACTCCCATAACCCAAGCCCTTTCATCTTACTTGCTGGAATTACTATTATGTCTATGACTAAAAGTAATATTACTTTCATTATAATTTTTGTAAAAATATCCAGCATTTTATAGAACGATAAACTAAAAGGTAAGAAATGGAATTTTTATCATTATTAACTTAGTCTTATAACAAATTAACGACCAATCACTCATTTTCCATCAGAAATATGAAGTTAAAGTGTTGGGTGCTGAATACTTATTCATTGCTGAATAATTTCCATGCTCTTATTTCATACTTTTGATTTACCTTTGTCTTTTGTACCTAACAAAGCCTCAATAAATCTTTGATGTGCTGTCTACAGGAAGAGTTTAGTGAAGACATTGTTCGTATCATTCAAGCCTTGCTGTTTGAAAATGAGCACTTTACCACAAGGAAGAAATATTCTAATTCTGTTAGATCAATATTTGTCAAGGTGAATTTTAACTGTCATAAGATATTACTTAATTCCATTTATTTTTTTTGCGATTAAGATACAAACTTAAAATAAAACAAAATTAAATTTTTTTAAAACTGTAAATGAAGCATTCTTTTCTTTCTTTCCAGCTTATGGAACGATCTTTTCCTTGGTTCAATGTTAATACTTGCAAACTATGGGAGCATAACCGAGGACTACCAGAGTAAGTGAAGAAGATTTTGGATTTGTTTAGTAATTTAAGTTTTTTTTATTTGCATTTGCAAGTCATCATTTGTATGTGCAGATGGTAACCTTCCTTTTGAAACATATATCAACCCAGAAAGAGGGTCGAGATTAACAGTAGGATAAAGTACCTCTGATTTTGGATTATTTATTCACTGTGTAATGAAATCTATTTATGCAAAATCACCTTTTTGTGACATAGTTTATTTATCTAATTTACTCCACAGAGGCATGCTGAAAGATGCAGTGCTACCCCCATCGACTGACCACACCTATGCTCAGTGGCTTGAAAGGACAGATACACCTATGTGTGTCCAACCATCACCATTCAAGAAAATTTGCATCCCACAAAAACAAAGCAGTGGAGAGGGTGAGATGGAATATTTGATTTAAACATTGTTGTGTTTTATAGACCCTGATTTTGATTACTCAGTATTGAACCTGCCAGTTAATTCATGTTTACCTTTCATTTTGTACCCTTTGTTTTTATTTCATCAACAGTCATCAGTGTCCAAATTAGTAAATCTGTGGCAATCAGCAATGTGACATTGCAGTCAGAAGACACAAGAGCCTGCTTGCTGTGTTTAACGTTAGGAGATGATCTACCCAATGTGAGAAGTTGTTAAAATAATCTCCCATTTAAAAAAATTTAATTTAATATTTCTGTGCTTACTTTTTTTCTCTCTCTCTCTCTCCTTGATAAAGTTTAACATATTTAAACATCAGTGTTAATTAATAATATGCTGAATACATCAAAAGTAAATCTGTTATTTCAAGTGCTAAGGCTAGAAATCTCTTTTTAAAGTGAAAATTTTGAATTTTTTCACCCCAGAGTGCGGGCCGTCTGTTGTACTGTGGGCAAGATGACTGGATCCACATCAATTGTGCTTTGTGGTCTGCCGAAGTTTTTGAATCTTCTGATGGATCTCTACAGAATGTACCAGAAGCCGTTAGCCGAGGAAAGAAGCTGGTATGAAAAGTCATTTGGATGAATCAAATTAAACACTCAATTTCTTTTTATATTTGTTTATGAGCTTAAGTTTTATCTTCTTTGTAATATAAGTATCAGCATTTATTTGTATTATTGGAATTATTAGTCTTTTAACAAGTTTATTAACATCAGTTGTGTTATCTTCAGCTTACTACCAGTTGTCAAAACTTGAAATATTTTTTTTAGAAATGAATTTAGAAAATTCAGTAGGCCAAATAGAAATAATTTCAGTCACATGTTTTCACACTGCAAAACGGAATGGGGGTCTATTACAAATTTTTAATTCTCAAATTTGACAGCTAGTCACTTAACCCCTTCTCTATAAAACAGCGTTGTGACCATTGCCAGCAAGCTGGGGCCACTGTTGGCTGCTGTGAGGCAAACTGCAGGGCCAACTTCCACTTTATGTGTGCCAGAGCGGCTGATTGTGCATTCCAAGTGGACCAGACCATTTTCTGCAAACTTCACATAGATTGTGTTGAAATGGATGTAGGTGTACTGTTTTAATGCCTTTTGATAATAAACCCTAAAAAAAACAATAAAAGTTTTCTTATTAACAGCTAATCTTTATACATAACGTATGCTTTCTAGTAGAAAAATAATTAACATTGTCTAAGAATTTAAGTATTGATATTTATTATGAACATAAAAGCACATCGAGTAAATAAATTCACCATCTATGTGCACCAAACTGAAATAGAACAAAAGCTGCAGGAAGTCATATTTTGAGGATACAATAATTGATTAATTAATTGTTTAGATACTACAGACGTCGTTGAACGCTATTAGTCAGGTCACCACAATGACACTATGCGACATATGGATGTAATGTTAACAGTTTATTTTAACAAATTTTAAGCTTATCGACCACAAGCAAATTGTAAAGGCATTCAAAAACTCATTATTTTTTTCCTTAAGATTGTGTGTTCAAATTTGTGCTCCTAAAGTGAACTCTCTTAAGTCTAAAGGAAAAGCATGTCTTTAAGTTCGATTATCTTTTATGTCAAAAGAAGATGACACAATTTTGTTGAGTAGAATCTGCAATTTGTCTAGTTTATTTTTGTTTTAATGGCCTGTTTTATGGTTTTCATTGTCCAGCTTGTACCTGAAGGGGGTTTTGAAATCTCAAGGCGTGTCTGTGTCGACCTTAACAAAATTAGAGCAAAGTCTTCATGGGGAAAGGCAGTTGATCCAGCTACACTTAATGTTATTATTGGTAAGTTTTCTGCCTGCAGCATTTATTAACCTTGGCTTTATCTTACAGCTTCATTTTATATTATGAAAGTGTTCAATATGCACTTACAAATGTAATGTGATCTTTATATTATAAATTTTTTAGTTCCTAATGAAATAATTGCAAGTATATATCTTTTGTTTTCCCCATCATTGATATGGTTGTGTATAAAGTTGCAAGTGAACTATTATTGTAAGATAAAATTTTTTCCACAATGTAGGTTCTTGCACTGTTGAAAACTTGGGAGTTCTGAAGTCTTTTCTGTCTGACAGAGAGGATTGCCTCTATCCTGTGGATTTCTGGTAAATATATTTGAAGCAAACACTGTATCTGTATTCAGGTTTAAGAAGTAATAATATGCTCAAAATATTTATGGACAAAGACAGTGAGTTAAATTCTGGCTTTTGTTTGAATCTGAATCACTGAGATTGCAAATATTTTAAAGAAAAAACATTAAGACTGTTCAAATAAAATATAAAGTAAGAAATTGTTTTTGTTTCATAATATGATAATTAAATGTTTTAAAAAAATGATATGAACATAAGTTTACTAGCAGCAAGTATATTAATTTTATTTACAATCTTCTAAAGTTCAACAAGGATTTACTGGAGTACACAAGACACCAGAAGACGTTCTGTCTACACCTGTCGCATTGTGGAAGTAAAACCTGTGGAGTTACCAGAGCTTCACATTCAAGACATGCGCATCATTCATGATGAAAGTCACCCAGAGTTTGTTCCCTTGGATAGGCTTGGACTTGAGAATCTGGGCATCCCCAACTTTAGGAAGAGCCTCAGAAATCCTAGTGAACTAGATGATGTCATTTTCTTGGAATCGGATGCCAGCTGTGCTGTGGCTGCATCCGCTTTAACATTCTCTTCCACATCCACCAGAACCACATTGAGTGTTATTTCTAAATCTACGAGCTCTCTGGCAGAGTCTTGTGCTGATGTCGGGAACCAGGCTCTATCTAAGTCATGGGGAGAGGGGATACAAAGTACAAGAGTCAACAATCCCATAGCTAAACCTATAGATCTGTCGGGGCTATCCGCTAGTACCCTAGCCCTTCTGAACATCAAAGATCCTCTTCATTACGTGCCACCTGCCAAGTCAACAAAAATGGACGTTGTTAAAAGCAATCTGCCAGTTATCGACGAAGAGCTGGGGCTTGTTAAAATAGCAGAGAGGTTAAACAGTGCAGCCTCCTGCATGCAGAGAGCCACCAAGTCTCCCTTGCATTTAAATGCTCAGCACAGATACGTGAGGAACCAGATAGACAGAAGCAAGTCTTTGTCGTCATCGCCTGTGCATTTCAACCATCAAGCTAGGCAAAGGTCAAACAGTGAGGAGAGATACCTCAGCCCTCTTTCCCCACTGGCTTCACCCAACGCAGTTGTCAGGGTGAACTTGGGGTCATCGCCCCCACTCCCCCCACCGAGGCAGGATTCAAGAGCCAGATCTGAATCACCATTCACTATAATTAAATGCCCCGATAGGCATGTGAGAGTTATTCGATCAGTCTCCCTTTCTCCTCAACATGTGGTAAAAGTTTCTTTAGATTCAACTGTCAGAGACAGCACACCACCAAATGTAGAATCCCTACTAGAACAAACTGAGAACCCAGCACAGGCAAAGGATTCCCTGTTTTTAACTTCAGGTCATGTATTGCCTATAACAGAAGGCTCAGATGATGACAACGAAGAGCCAATTTTCACTGGTGTGGATCTAGAAAGTGCTAATCAGATCAAGGATTTTGTCAGTCTGTCATTGCATAGACCGATGTCATCTACTCCGGAGAAGGGACTAAATGGGCCGAGTATAGAACAGAGTTTTCCATCTGATGATCCAGAAGTAGTTTCTTGTGATGGTTCAGACACTCTGTCTGTGGAGAATATCAGATACATTCTAGAGAATGTCCCCAGTGAAGTTCTGGAAGGTAATGAGGTGAAAGTTGTTGTGCTTACAGATACTGAGGACCTTTCTGAAGAAGACTTATTGAGATTGACCTTTTCAGCTATAGAAGGGTCAGACAATAGTATGGTCAGAGATGAAGGTTTTTTGGAGTCAAACATTGTCAAGGATGGATGGATTGAGGATGGAGAAAATTCCCGTAATGGTGAAAAAGGTATTGATGGATCTTCAAGTTACCCTGAGTTGTTTAACCGAAACTTTAGAAGAAATGGTGAAACGACTTCAAGAACAGCTGGTCAGCACGATGAAGGTATAACTAGCAATGACAATCACCACAATAGCGCCGGTGACAACCAAGAGGTCTCAAATGAAAATACTTCGAAACAAAGGCAGTCGTCGTCCGGCTTAAGTCCAAGAAGCTCCTGTGGTCGTGGTGGCACAGGAGACGGTGGTGGAGACGATGATGAAAGAAAACCTTGTGGGAATGGAAATAAAAAAGAGACAACAGAGTTCGATCTGGAGGAGACTGGATCTGAGAAAGAGGAAGAATCTCTGGAGACATCTGGGCTGGTGTCAGATACTCAAGACAACCTTCTTGGGAATTCTACCAGTGTTGGGGACAAAGGAGAAGACGTGTTAGATGAGACTGATGGAAAAACCTTTGTGGGCCATCAGGCACTTCCCCGGACAAGCTCAGGGGAAGAAATAGATGACATTGCTGGATGTGATAAACACCCTGCGACGAGCAACGCCAGCCAAGTTACCACTGCTAAGGTTAATGCCACTTCACCACTTGATTTCACAGATATAGAGCAACCTCGGTGTGAGAGCTCTTCTTTGTCCGTCTCAGGAGGGGATGATGATGACAGGCTACTGTCTAGCAGCTCACAAGTCCAGATGGTTGAGTCCCTGAATGAAAATTTAACACTGTCTCACGAGGAGTCAGATGATGACGTAAAAATAATTGATTTGTCTGACACGGAGAGGTCTCAGAAACATGATCAAGCTGAAATCAAAATGACATGTGGCCATAACCAGATAGTCGAGCCTAAAGATTTTATGCCAATAAATGAAAATACAAATGATTTGGGGACACATGATCCAGATCGAGGACCTGGAACTAGCAGAAACAACAACAACAGCGCAGGAGGTTCTGTATGTTGTAACAGGGAGGTTGGGAATGGAGGGTCCATCTCACCTCAATGTAAAGAAGATATGGACCAGAAACCAGTGGATCCAAGATCGCTAGAATCTCCCAATCCCAACAGTAGGAACACTGAACCTATCGCCAAAACAAAAGGCACAGCCAAGATGAGTAATCAGGACACAAGTGATGAGGAGAGTGACTACCTTCTGCTTGACGACTTCAGTTTCAGTGAGACCAATGATGAGGATGAAACGGGCCAAGTTAACAGAGCATTAGGACACAAATCTGGCACCAGATCTGGACAAGGTGATCACATTGGGTCTGATTCTAGCACTGTCGCTGCGCACTCCAAAACCCACAACGGTGGTAAATTATTGGAGCAGTTAAATATTACAGAAAAAGCAGGAAAAGTGCCTGAATGTAATTTGAAAGAAATAAAAAATGAAAATAGTGCAGTATTAAATGAAGAAGTAGTAGAAGTAGATCAAATCTCACAACTAAATTCCAATGAAGAAAATTCTAAAGAGATAGATCTCTCTGAGCCCTTGGCCAAGAAGTCTTCTGAAACTTTGTGTCAAGGAGAGCTGAGCACCGAACCCAAAAGTCGTACTCAATCTATGCCACTTGGATCACCGTCCTCAAATTTAAAGACTCTTGTGGTCAGGGTAAAACAAATGACAGAGGATGAACTGAGAACTTTTCTCCCCAGCAAGGTTTTGCCAAGCCAGACTGTGGCAGGTAATGCAAAAAGTTTGGACGAGGTTGAGTCGGATGACGAGAGGATTGGCACAAGTGTGAAAGAAGCCTGCAGTTTGGACATCAGGACCAGGAATCTTAGAAAGGATGACTGTCATGTTGAAAAATCAGAGCCACACTCTGGAAAACATGTTGACACTGATAAAGAGCAGGAAGGAAGTTCAGAAGTTGAGGTGAAGTGCTTTGAAAGCCGCCAGGTCAGAGCATCGACGAGAAGGAGGGAACAATTAAAAGGTGATGACCGGAGTCATGCCAGGAGTGTAGACCGGTCTAAGGTTAAATCTGTTAAAAGGAGCGGAAGTTCAAAACCATTGAAAGATGAGAACCTGGACAAGGAAGGTTTTGAAAAGGAAGAAGTTGTTAAAATAGGCAATGAGAATAGATCAAGAACAGAGAAAAGAAATAACAGTGCTGTGCAAAAGGAAATGAAAGATGATGAAACCCTTGACATGGATAAACAATCTCACTCAGGTGACAGTAAGCCAACAGATGGCTCAGGATGTGAACCCCTTGACATGAGTACACAGTTTCACCCAAATGACAGTAAGCCAACTGATGGCTCAGGATGTGAACAAATGCCAACTGTCAAGCCAGAAAATCAGAAGATTGATGACGATGATGTAATTGAGTTGGACTCAGATGAAGATGAAAAAGAACTAGCCAAAATTGATCACAGTGCAAGGGGATTCAGTTTTTCACCTGAGATAAGTGACAGGGCTAAAATGAGCACATTTTCAGGGAAGGAGTTCTCCACCAGTGAAAACCTGCATGAAAAGATTGTTGAGAAAATAAAAGCTGAAAGCTTGGCAAGGAGCAGCCCAGGTGAGGAGGGTCCATTCAAGTGTCCAACTTGTAAGAGAATGTATAGAACACGAGAAAGGTTTGAATCCCATGTTCGTGACTGCGATTTTGAAGTGAGCACCAGTGATGAGGATGAGAAACCCACAATTAAAGAACTGCGATCATCAGAGAGGTTCCGTGCTGCAAATAGGGAAAAATATGACCATTCTTTAGTTGTGGACAGATCAGAAAAGTCTTTGTCTTCTGCATCGGCACCTGCATCGCCACCTCTGAATGTGCCCTTGAGTATCATCATCACTGACGAGTATAAAGATGAAAAGCTTTCACCGTCCAGCAGAGATCTGTCTGATGATTGCTCTAGTGTTCAGAGTCAAGATTCGAGGCGGTCATCACTCAGGAAAAGCACTGTCACACAGAGGAATGCCGCACCGGCTCATCTTGCCAAGGTGAGACGCAGGGACTCCAAATCTACTCTTTCCCCAGATGAGTCCACCTGCTCTTCTTTGCTTTCACCAAAGTGCTACACCAGACATGCAGAAGAAAAGCCATCGCCTAAAGAAACCATGCTTGAAGCAGTCGGGCTAGTCAGCAGAAGATCCCTTGAGCTATCCCCTCATTCAGATATTGACCCTGTTGGGCAGATGAAGCTTCAGCCTCGTATTTCTCCTCCAGTAATGGACGAAGCCCCAAAAAGGGAAAAAAGAAGCCCGGCACAGGCCAGTGGGAACATTAGACCAAGTATTATGGCTGGTGGGCTCCCCAAACAAGGTTCATCCAAACAGAGAAGCATAGCTATCACCTACGACCCTGTGGTGTTAGAGGAGGTGCTGGTGACATCAACTAAACCAAAACGTCCACGGCTGAAACGAATATGGTGGGTGGAAACTTCAGAACCGCCTGGGGAGGACAATGAAGAGGATATCGGAGAGGATAAAGATGATAATGAAGAGAGTGGAGATGAGGAAGGAGGGGTTGCCCGCAGAACAAGACAAAGGGTGTCATCAGAACACAGGTCCACAGAAAGGGGAAGGTCCCCCAAGTCCAGCTGTTCTTCACATCATCCGGATGAGTTATATCCACAAGAAGAGACGGATCATTCTCTAAATGTCAAATGCGTGCTGCCTCAAGTCTTGTCACCTCAAATGAAAGGGATACCTCACGAAAATGAACCAGCTCCCCAAAAGATTGATGAGGATCTGCCTAAGCTTCAAGCAGGAGGACTTGGTGAAGATAAAGAGACAGAATCCTCCCCACAGTTAGATATTCAGCCTGCAACAGAAGTGAGAAAAACCAGATCCAGAACAAAACTGGCATCTCCTCAATCTGCCAGTGAGAGTTCAAAAGCAGAGGAAAAGTCTCCTAAATCTTCTGAACCTTCAAAATTAAGGAGAAGCAGGGGTCGTCAAGCCCCAAATGAGACCATCAAAAGTATTCCAATAATTGATGACATCAAGCAAGACTTGGACAATGATTCTATTTTGGCAAGTACTACGGTCAAGGAACCTGAAACAGTATCTGAAAACAAACCACAAGAGATCATTGAGCCAATTCAGTTTGATATTAAATCAGATGATAAAAGCCATGAAACGGAGGAGGCTTGTGAAGACACTCCTCCGGTTGAGCCAGTGGAGGGAGTCTCTAATAAACATGAGGTCACCGACCATGAAGATGAAGATGTTCAGGAGGGTCTCTGTCTTGATGATTCCCTAACGTCACGTTTGAGGAGAAGTCAAAGGCCATCCAGCAAGACAGCCAAGCTGAGTGAGTACCTGGCTGAACTGAAGTCCTCCCAGAATCCACTTGAAACATCACCTGTGCCAGAAAAACGTGCACGAGGGCGTGGTCGGCCAATGATATATCCAGAAAAAGAGAGGCCAAATGCTTCTGAAGTCAAGAGAGGAAGAGGACGTCCCCCCTTGCTAAACAAACAGCTGCCTTCTCAACAAAATCCTGATCGTTCTCCAAGTCTACGCCGACCAGGTCGCCCCCCACGCACAGTAAGTCATCCACCCTCCAGCACCGATTTTGGTGGTGGTAATATAGAGGCAGAGGCTGAAATCGAGGAGAGCAACTCTTCCTGTCCAAGAAATGAAAATGAGAATCATTTGGAGGAAGCACCTGTAGAAAGTAAATCAGAGGATAGGCCCATTACAAATGAGATAGACAAAAATGGTAACCAGGGGAGGTACACCTCAGGCAGTTTTAAAAATAGTTGTACTCATCAAGAGGCCCAAAGTGCTGGGGAAAGCAGCATGGAAAATAACTCGGGTCCTTTGGTTGATATTAGTAAGCCGAATGAACTAAATGGAGACAAAAGTTCCCCTCAGACCCAAGACTACATTGATTTAACCAATGAGGGGGACGAGGTGGGCGAGACATTTCATCCCGACCAGTCAAAGCTTTCTGATGGTGAAAGAAAATCAGAATCCCAGAGCGAGTCCAGTATAACAAACACAATGCCTGCCAATTCTGAAAACAATGGTGAAGGCTCGGGTGCCACATCATCAGCCGCCGGAACCGGGACTGGTGACATCACTGTCAAAGATGATGATGCTGGCGATGCGCCCCCACAGCTGCGCACCCTGAACGATGCTTTAAAAACAACAGGGCAAAAACTGAGGATCATCATCAGGTCCCCTAATGTGGTTGCGGCCCAGAAAATTGGAGAACTCATCAAGAAAACCGCGATGGGCGTCAACTCCAAGCAATCTGAAATTACAGTGACCACCACCGACTCTAGCAAGGCAGAGCAGAAATCTGTAGAATGTCACAGCTCTGAGGGGGCTGAGAAACAAGACCAGGATGAAACAGATGGGATCAAATCTAAGACCACCCAACCTAAAGCCAGCACCCAGGAAGCAGCATCTGATCGCCAGGAGAGTGCCGATGATGGTACGCCATTTGTTTCAAGGTCAGTCAGTCCGGATTCCATTTCAGCTGCTTACGACATCCAGAGTGATGATTTTAGCTCTGAAACATCCAATGACGTTGATGATTACCCACCAAGTTCAGTGGACCCTGACAGCAGTGAGTGCAACAGCAATATCAACCACATTCCTGTGCCAAAAGTCAGCCCTGAGAAACAAACCATTGAAGATGATGATGATGATGTCGTCATTGTTAAAGCAGTAGGGCTCCAGCCACCCGAGCAAACTATGGCCATAAAACCTCTAGCAGTCACATCCACATCAAACCAACCTTTCCCAATGATGGTTGGCTCATCATCGCCGTCATTCCCTAGGCCCATTTCTACTCTCTTGAAGTACATTCCCTCAACCACTGTGTCATCCCTTCGAGGTTTTCTCACGTCATCAACTCAGTCCTCAAACATGAGAACAAACCAGTTTTCTCAGCAAATAAATATGAGCCCAACAGGACAAAGTGTGAGCCCCTTTGTCAGTATACAACAAAACCAGGTGTCCCCATCAAGGAACCCAACACAAGTCATGCTTTCTGAGGTTTCACCGGGTCATTATATCATTCAACAGAATCCCAATCAAAGGGCTGAGTTATTACAAGCTCAGGAACTTGCTCACTCAGGACTTTTGATACAAAGTGCCTCCAACCAATCGGGAATGATTTTACAAAATACCAACCAACCAGGACTCCTCTTCCAAAACAGTAACCAGTCAGGTCTCTCTTTACAAGGTAGCAACCAATCAAATGTATTATTTGGTCACAATAACCCATCAGGACTAGTTCTACAGCAAAGTAATGCCTCTCTTTTACAGGGGACAGGCCAGGGCGGCCTCTCTTTTATATCTCTGAATCCCAGCAACCCTCTGGCTCAAACAATTATATCACCTCTTCAACCTCTGCAGTCTCATGTAAGCCCTCCATCAATGCTCCAGCCTGGCCTGGGGCTAGCTCCACTGATGCAAGCAGCTACTCTGGCATCCAGTCAGCCCATGCTTTTAAGCCAGTCTTTCCTCGCTCAAACTGGCATGTTCCTGCCACAGCTGGCTACTCAGTCCATGGTGTCACGTCAGAGTGGCATGGACATTGGTGTTGGACAGGTCCAACAGAAGTCATCTGCTCGTGGATCCTCTGTGGTCATAGACCCTCATGCTCATATGTTATCTGCCACTTTGAACTCTTCCATCCTCAAAGCAAACCAGCTTGGTATCTCTACGCAGAATCAAGTGCAGATGCTTTCAAGCAGCAGATTTAGCGCCCCTTCAACCAACCAGATGACTCTGCCCTCCAGCACAAACATTCATGTTCCTCAGATACAGTGTAGCAGCACAACGCCAGCAGTCAGTCACACTTATACCCTGCACTCACAGGGGACAGGGCTATCATCTTCTAATGTATCCTTTGCAAAATCAGCAGCTCTTCCTGTGGCTCCAAAAATGATATCCCCTTCCACTGTCCTAGCTAAGGTAGATGGAGCTCCCACTCAGGTTAACTACATGGGGTCATTTGATTTAAACTCATCCAGCTTGAAAACAACCATTCATGGCCAGCCGTTGAATAAGCACGCTTCCGAAAAAATAATGGACCTTGTCCAAAGAGCCCTGAACAACAAAGGGCAAGAACAGATTCCAGGAGTGGAAGTCAAGTCTGCTTTCACGGATACTCCACAGGGCCCCAAAAAAGTTTTAAAAGTTTTCATCAATGAAGACATTTTACCTGGTCAAAGCACGACAAGGTCAGGTCCTTTTGGTCAGTCATTGCCAACACAAACTGCTGCACCTTCAACCACATCATCAGTTGTGGCATCATTGCTTTCAACCATGCAGCTTAACACAAGCAGCACTTCACGAGCAGGCCCAGAAGCCAGCTGGACAAAGATTTTACCTAGTTCATCACAGGTACCTGTCGGCCAGCAGCAGTGCCAACCCCAGACTCAGTCACAGGAAGGGGCAAGCTTGTGGTCAGGAACAAACACTGGCTACATTTCAGTACCCATTGGTCAAAATTTATCAGGCAGCCGACAGCATGGTAGTATAAAACCTCATCCATCGGCCCCATTCAGAAGGGCTCTGAAACCTGCAATTTATCCCCAAAGCTTAAAAAGAACATTTTCCCAATTGTCTGCACAGTCTACCCATGATGAGCCGGCAGCTAAAAGACCTATTTTTGGAAAGACGTTAAATAATGATGGCATTGTAACTGGTTCTTTCCAGCAAATTGTGGGTAGGAATCTCCTGGTAGAGACCCCAACCACCAGCTCAGAAACCTCAAATGTACTTAACAATGCACAGGAGAACTTAGAGGTATCACAGTTTAGACCCTCTCAAGGTAGTACTGATGGAAATACAGGGCAGTTACCTACAATCCAGCCCACAGAGGGGCAGCACCAGCCCCATCACATAGCCCAGCAGCAAATACATCTCCAGCAGTCACCCCATAAGAGGGCCAGTTTCCCTCTCATGTCCCCTATTAAAAGACCCACAACAGCTACGCATCCAGTTAATGCCATTAAAGAAAGAGCAAGGAAGCAGATTTTGAAGCAATCCTTGATGAAAAAAGAAGCGTTTTCTCCCAGCAGCGGACAAGGCTTCAAGCCACCTGAAGTAGCTCAGAGAAAAAAGTCTGTGGTTTCCAGGAGATTAAAAACAGGTATGTGAAGCTTTTTAAAAAATTTTATTGTTGTCAGTACTTACGTTTAAAGAGATAAATTCACCCCTTCTCACTGAAGCCTTTTAACTCATCTTTTCCGCTCCCACGGTTCATTGAATGGAAGTTAACCAGTACGGTACCTTTTTTAAAAAAGGAAATTCTGATTTTTTTTAAACAAACAAATAGATCTTCCTGTGGTCAATATAGATTGGCTTATGCAGATATGGCATTGGTTTCCCATTCCTTAAATCATTTCATTGGTTTCTGGTCTAGCAGCTACAAAAAATGAATTTGAATAATTTTTAATGTACATTATCAACATAAAACAGTGCATTATAGACATTGAAATGTGCATTATGAATGTTATACTGTGCATTATAAAATTGTGAATTTTTATGTCCTAGATGTTACTTAAACTTTGTGAACTTCGTGTTAGTTGGATGTGATTCCTTAGCGTTATTGTTTTGTGAATTTTATTTAATCATTCCCAAGTTCTGGTTTAGATGTCTCTATGGGTTTGCACTTGTGATTTGGTTATGAAACATTGGACAAGAAATTATGATTGAAATAAAAATTCTCAGGTTCTTGAGATCTTGGTTAATTTTGATTGGTGACCACAAATGTTCTTTCCCAAAAAAAACAGTCAGCCATCATCCTTTGATTCACCACAAAAAAGGGAATGTCACACTGCCGCAGCCAACGCTGGAAGAAGAAGTTGTGGCCACTCCATTGGACTTGGGTAAAGATCATCCTCATGGACCTGGTGGAAAAGCTGCCAAGGAGAAAAATGTGAGCAGATTGAAGTTTGAGATCAGCAGTGATGATGGATTTTCTTGTCAAGGAGATACAGTTGAAGGTGAGCAGAGTAGCATTCTTTCAATTGTCTCTGTAAGAACTGCATTACTCGGCAAGCCCATTTGAGCAGAGTTCTGACATTTGCGAGGTTCTTGCTCTATTGAATATTATCTTGCAAATGAAATGATGGATTTTAATTAAGAAAGAGTTTATTATTATATTCAACCATCTATTGATTTTTGCCTAACTTAATAATTATGTATCTGGTGTAATACACATTTTTAGTCCTTCAAGTTAACTAAGCCTAAATTTGCTACAAATGGCTGAACTGAACCTTTTTTTTTCTTCTTTAGATGCTTGGAACCAGGTCCTAGAAAAAGTACAGGATGTGAGAGCTGCATCGAGGATGAAACAGCTTTCCTATGCAGGGATATCTGGCCGCAACATGTTTGGTGTTGATCACGATGCAGTTGTTTACCTTATTGAGCAACTGTATGGGGCTGTTCACTGCCACAGAAACTACAAGTTCAAGTTCCATAAATATGATTTGGATCAAGCTGATGCTGTAAGTTGTTGTATCTGATCTGACCAGTTACCGAAAAAATTTTTGAAAGAAATTTCTTAGATGGAAAATTTATCGACAGGAGTTTGATGGAACTGAATTTTGATCGAATTTTTTTTTTAGTTCACACGATGAATATGATGAATTTTCGTCTAATTTATTTTTGAACGCACTATATTATATATTAAAACAAACAAAATTCCGGATATGGATCTGACCATACTGTGAACCAATATTTTCTACACAAAAAACTACAGCTAGTTAGTTATTTGATTCGGAAAGGCATGTAGCCTTCTAGTAAAGGGTGCAAAATAATTATAACGACTAAGTCAGACATCAGGGTTAGAGCTATCAAGAGTTGACAGTATTTTTTAAATTTAGTGTTTTTAAAATGCTATAACTTATTGAGTTATTAAAAAGCATGAGTCTAAAATGAAAAAAATATGTGGTTCTGAATAAAAAAAAATCAGGATCAGATGAGGTAAAAAAAATTCAGAGAATTTAATGCAACAGTAAAAAAATTTCTTTGCATTCTCTTGTTGGCGATTTTTTTAAACAACCACCAGGTCTCTTTATATGTATCTTGAAAACAAAAATTTGCATTGAATTATTTGTTGGTGAGGCAATATTTTCATTTTAATTTAAAGACATGTTATAGCCCTAAATCGTTAATTATATGCAATTTAAAAAATGTAAAGCATTTAATATTCCTACAATTTCCTCAGACTTTAATAATATATTTTTCTCAGGCATTAAGACTAGACATAATTGGTTATCTTTACAGGAGGTAACACTGAATCCAAGTGGTGCTGCTCGATCGGAAACTTTTGGTAGTCGAAAGCCATTTGACATGTTTAACTTCCTCAAGTCTATGTACAGGACTAAGCCTGGAGATGATGAGAGAGAAAAGGAAGAAGAAATGGCACTCAAATCATCCAGGTGAGCTATCTGCACTTCAAATAGTAAAAACATAATTTCTCTAGAGCTTAATGCCAAAGATCAGTACCAAAATTTAATAGCTGAAAGTGAATAGATTTAAACATTAAAAAATATACTTTAGTTTAATGTACTTTGAACTTGTAATGTTTTTAAAAATACTTGAGAAAAACAAAGATAACTATAAACAAAACTGTAATGAGACCACTTGTTACAAAAGCAAGTGAAACTTGGACCCTATCAAAAATGACAGATAAGTTCTCCGGAAAATATATGGACCAACAAAGGATGAATATGGATGGAGAATACGAACCAATCAGGAATTGTATAGTCTATCAGGATCCTAAGCTAGTAGCAGAAATAAAAGGGACAGGCTACCCTGGGCAGGATAAATGCCAGAGGAGTGAAGAGGATGCACTACCAAAACCCCCAGAAGAAAATGACTCAAAGGCAGATCATGGCTTAGATGGATGGATGATATAGAAAAACAATGTTCAGCAGCTGGAAATACAAGATGGAAAAGAAAATTATCGGGTCTAAGTGGAAGAAAGTGGTGAGGCAGACCAAAGCCCTACATGGGCTGTATTTTGCCACATGGATGGGATGTACTTTGAACTTATAAAGTAGATTTTTAATTTGCATAGATGGTTACTATTTGAATAGTCATTTTCAGCTTATTGTGAAATATTGAACTCATCAATTTGTAATTTTAGACGAGCCACAAGTTTGAGCCTTCCTATGGCCATGAGGTTCCGCAAACTGAAAACTTTTGCCAAAGAAGCTGTGGATGTCTACAGATCTAAGATTCATGGTAGAGGTCTCTTCTGCAAGAGAAATATTGATGCTGGTGAGATGGTCATTGAGTATGCAGGGGAGGTCATCAGAGCCTCTCTCACAGACAAGAGGGAGAAATATTATGAGAGCAGAGTAAGTCTTTTAAAAAAAATTAAGGTTTATTTTTACCTTTTCATCCCTCAACAATATATTTTCATGCCTTCCACTATCTTGGAATCTTTTCCAACTCTATCCTATCTTATGCATACCTCTGAATGCCAGGTGTTTCTGGTTTATCCCGGTCCTTTTGATCCCTGAGGGCTTCATTCAAATGCTTGCCTAGATATACTCGACCAATCCATTTATCTCCCTTTCTGAATTTATTGCTACACTTGTGAAGCAATTTAACCCTTTACAGTCCAAACCTATTCAGCCTTGTCTACTCCCAACGCCCAAGCAAAGGGACATAACTCCATTTTAAATGAAGGTTCTTTATCTAATTAATTTACAGAAAATAAACTAGAAGCAACAAAATAAAATAAAAACTACCTAAATACAAAGAAATGATTAAAGCAAAAGTTAAACCTAAAAATAGTTTCAGAGACCCTCCCACTCATGAAATAGTGAAGCTTCATTAGGCCTAAGTTCTTTCAAAAGCGTATCCAAGGCTTAAATAGCCATTTTTTACAGCGAAAAAATCGCGACTTTTAAAAAAATCTTAGAAAATCATCCCCTAAACACACCGCGGTCAAACTAGTATCGAAATAAATGCCGACAACGAGGCTTTCTTCCGGTAGAACTATAAATAGTAATGCGCAATGGATTTCCGCTGTGCTAAGAACGAAAGTAAACACCTCGAAACGGGCGGGTTCGGCCGCATCGGACTGTAGGCTTAAGGAAAAAATCGGCGCATTTCGGGCGCATCGGACTGTAAAGGGTTAAACAATTTTATCTTAATATTTTTGTGGGTGTATTGTCTTTAATAATTTTATTCTCTAATTTGCTAATTGTCATTAGTGCAGTGAACCAAACACTAAACTATTTTATATTTGTAAAAAATGTATTTATTGGTTAATTTATGCAGTGGTTGGGTTCAATTTGTGACTATTTATCATATTATGGCTTCCTTTTGGAAGTTAATGTTATATAATGGTTAATGTATGTTTTGATCCATAATGTAGACATGCAATGTTTGTGGTCTTTAGGGCATTGGCTGCTACATGTTCCGTATTGATGATGATGAAGTTGTGGATGCTACAATGCATGGCAGTGCAGCCAGATTCATCAATCATTCTTGTGAAGTAGGTGTCAGATTTAAAAAAAAACATTGTTCCACTGGGATGATGCAATGATCTTGTCAGCTTTTGATATATTCCTGCTGCAATTTAAATTTTTTTAAGCCTTTCATTTATCTTGACCTTTTAGAGATGAACTTAGTTTTTAACTGAAACGAAACAATCTCAAACAATTTCCAAAACTCCTCAGCCAAACTGTTTCTCCAAAGTCATTCTGGTGGATGGCAAGAAACACATTGTTATATTTGCCATGAGGCCGTGAGTATTCTCTCCTTTACTGAACTGTTCATTGTATTTGATAGTTGTTTTTTTTTAAATTTAAAATGATGGAGAAATTACCTTGATTAACCTTTTCAAGAACCAATGCAGTCATCTCATATATCATGCCATAGTGGGATGCATGGGGGCCTTTTATTAATTATCATCATCTACCCTTTTACAGCATATTTCAGTTTTAGATCCTGATAACAAAATCTTGATTTTATAATTTCATTGTTTATTGATTTCAGGATCAAACGTGGTGAAGAACTGACATATGATTACAAGTTCCCCATTGAAGAAGTCAAAATACCCTGCTCTTGTGGGTCAAAGCGGTGTAGAAAGTATCTCAACTGATTTAATCATGTGAAGTAATAGATGTGCCATCTTTTTCAAAACATGTTCCTATGCTTCAAAACAATATTCTGATGCAAGTTTTTTGGAAAACTAAGGAATCTCATGTGTCATAAAGCATCCATTAGGAATTCTTTTGTCACAAGCCAGCATAACAATCGTAACCTAATTTATTTATTTCATGATTGATCGAAGTGCAAGTAAAAAAAAATTGTGTGGGCAAAAAAACACTTGCTAGAACAAGGTGACTAATCTGTGTAAGTTGAAGAAATTAATTTATCATTGAAGTGAAAATGTTATTCACAAAAGCAAATATTTTAGCAAAACCTTTAATTGTTTAGTGTGAAAATAATGGCCAGTTACCCCCTCCCTTGGGTATTACTTGTGTCAGGCCTGCACAACTCAAAATGTAAGGCGGGCCGTAATACTTAATGAAAAACTTGTGCGGGCCAAAAGAAAATAGGACAGGACTTGTGCAGGACAAAAAAAGATAGGAAAAGGGGAAAGCTATTAAGAAAATAAGAAGAATATTTCGTTACTTCGCGGATCACAAAGTGGGTGCTGGCAGGCCATTTCTTGTGCAGGCCTGACTTACATCATTAGAGACATGTTATTAAATTGACAGCTTGCCACATGTAAAAGACTTCTGAGACAGCTACGGTGCCGCTGCACGAACAATAAATAGCGGTACCTGCAGGGCCGGAGAGCAGATTTATTCATACAACCATTGCCTTCACCATTCGGTTGGGGATGGTTAAATCTTTCCAAATCCTTTTGTGACATTAACTTGTGTTTTTTCTGTTATGAAGCTGTTTTTGTGTTCTTTTTGTGTGTGTGTGTGTAAATATGGGACTCATAGCATTGGAAAGCAGCGAATCTGATAATAATTGATTTTAAAATTTAGTAATGTAACTATGCATTTTCTGGGTGGAAAAGGGGGCAGGGGGTAACTAATTGAGCAACAAATGTATTTTTAAATATGATGTAATTTTTAAAGTTTATTGTTAAATTCTACCTTTGAACACAATGTAATATATAAATTATGTACATAACAGTATCATGTGCAAGGTTGATTAATTAATTTCTATTGGAATAGTTGCTATAATTATAATGTGCTAAAATTATAATAAATGGAAGGAAGTCAGATGTCCGCTAGTCGAGTTAGGTTTAGTCAAATTTTTAACAAGAACCACTTTATAAAAGAAAATTCCCAAAAGTGACATTAACTGTGCTTAATGATTATTATTTATATTTATAAGTAGTTTCTGCCATCCTTGTTACAGCAAACTTAAAATAAGTTCTTTAAATAGACTTTTTGGAAGGAGGGCTTGGTATGCTTTGTTTCAGTTACAGGTTTAACTAAATAGTTATGTTTGTAAGGTGTATGAGACAAAATTATCACAATATACCATCTTGTGTTCTGATACATAAAAAACAAAAAACCAACTCATTTTTTTAATGTAAAGTATTTTTTTTAATCTTCTTTTTCATACAATTGTTTTTTATAATTTCATACCATGCAGTTCCAATGCTCTTTGTTTTACAAGTATTAAAAACCTGTGAAGTTTTACACAAAGGTTTCCATTTTTGTGGAAATTGTGAGTTTTTTTTTTGTTTTGTTTATTGGGATAATAATATATAAGTTGGCATTATTGGACACATTAGCTTTTGTCTGCACTTTTCTGAATTGGTTTGTAAAAAAAATCACCTTTGCTCACATGCATTTATAAGAGTTGTTAATATTCAAATATGTAAATTGTTTGTAAATATGTGTGTGTGTGTGTGTGTATGGTCTGAATTATGGCACTCATATGTAAATAGATAAATGAGAAGATGTTAAAAACATTGTAATGGAAAGCAAGGTGTGTTCAAACTTTGAACTGATTTGTAAATTGATGAAAGAAGTGTCCATGCAAGGACTTAACTGAATTTGTTTGTGTATTATTGAAGAAAATGCTAGTGATTTTTCATAAATTGATTTTTGATGAAAAAAATACACTTGATTAAATGAAAAGCAGATGAATAAAAAATATTGCAATTTTTTTCTCTCCTGGCTTATTTAAATGATTGAATTTTATATGAATATTCTTTTTTTTTTTTAATGCGAATGACTATGACATCAAGAGAAAGGTTTGAAAAATAAAAAAATTTCTACTTTTCAAAGTTTTATTAACATTTTGCTCTACAGAAGAAATATTATATTTATAGCATGGACATAACTATAGATAAATTTCTTATTATATTGTAATACAATATAATAAGAAATTTATCTATAGTTATGTCCATGCACTTAATTACAAATATACCAGTATACAACAATGGATGTATATCAGACCTGTTTACCCTCAAACTCTTAAAATCGTACAATATCATCATTCAATACATTATCTTCATAGAAAAAAAAACAAGCAGTATATATAATGTATGCACCTCAAAATCGTAAGAGTAAAAAGGTCTGGTATATTGATAAAATGCATCCAGTGATTTAGGTGTCATGTTACTGGGGTTATTCTGACTTAATATTTTGTGTACAAAAGTTGTGGAAGGAATCTTGACAAGATTGTATGTGCAATGCAAGAATTTGTGAGTCACCAATCATCTAAGCAGTGTTAGTAGATTCCTCCAATGACTTTGGTGTTTTTAACACTTTAATTCATACTTAATATCAAGTAAATTGAGGAATATATAAATATACACTTATTTCAGACCTTTGAGAATTCTGCCAGCAGAATCCTTTGTTTTTTGTTTTTTTTAAAAATGGTTATGAGATAAAATAAATGCAGGAATGTGAAGTATGCAATACAAATCTTTAAGCATTCCTTTGGCCAATACACCATTAATAAAAGATTTAAAAAATGGTGGCCAATGTAAATTCATGCTAAGAAAGATATAGCTTGATATACATACAGTTTTAAAAAATCATATTTATTAAGTAAAAACAAGTTTCAAGCATGAGTTCCATATTCCCATGTGTACGCTAGGTAACTCAGGAATGATAGGCACCATGACTGTATCAAAATATGCAATAGCTTAAATTACTATAAAAATGTCAGTGTAGTTTTAATTTGATGTAGTGCATAGAAAAGGGTAATTTAAAAAAAATTAGGTTTAAGGAAGATGGGAGGGGAGGGAGACCAAATGATTTTTTATAGAAAATGATTAAGATGGTGACTTAAATTTAAAGTAAAGATAAACATTATGCACCACTATATAACCTTTTCTGTACCTAAGAAATGCAGAGATTTGAGCCAACTCAGAGATAATGATGATTCAATAACTTAAAGATTGCAATTTTATTTTTTTAAAAAGATCCCCCCCACACATACAAAGAAAAACAACATATGTTCCAGAAGTTTAGAGCACTCAAGTGTACCTGGCTTGTACTTGTATTGACAAAATAAAACTATCAGTTCAGAGTTAATTTTGGTCTGTGAAACATCTCCAGCTTATTCAGTGTCCCCATGAGACTTTACACATATCGTCTTAAGGGTCGGTCTTTCCCTTTTTTCTTTGGCTGAAAGTTTAAGTCTTCCCAAGAATCTGTTGTTCATCCTCATTCCGTTTGTTCAGAATCACTGAGCTGCCCAACCTCAGTTTGAAGCTTACCAGGCCTTCAAGGACTCCTGTTTAGGGGCAGCTACTCTAATCTCTTCCCTGGCTGGTGAGTCACACTGAAGAGTTAAGTACCTATTCACATCTACGTTGACTCCAGCAAGGCTTGCCAAATGTTTAATCTTCTGAGCATCTTCTGCTTTTCTTTGCTCTGTTAGTACAAGTATGTGTTTTAGTTTTAATGCTACTAAATTTTTGAAAAAAGATAAGAAGGAATCATTAAAGCTAAAATAATTTATGAGAAATGCATGTCAAGTAATGTCTAAACTATGAGTGTAAGATCGCTTATACCAGGAATTTTTAAAAAATCCATACATGGTAATTTAATATGTACTATTTATAGACATTTGTATAATGCTTCTCTGAATAAATTCTAAGTAAAAGGTGTTCCATTACTGCAATTGATAGGCAAAGTCCAGATATATGACTGGCAGCCACCAAACATTATATTCAGCAATTTCCTTAGGTTAAAATTCACAACTATTTGTAAATAAAATGATTGATTTCTGAGCCAACAAAGGTAACCAGATGTTATGTTTTACCAGTGTGTTTTAAAAGATAAATGGGGATTTATTTCAGTTTCTTACATTTATTTTCAAGAACTCAGAAAGACTTACCCAGTTTCATTTTGGTTTCCATGGCAGCCAAGGATAACTTCTGGCTGTGCATCATTTCTTCCATTTCCAGTTTATGTTTCTGTGTCAGCGCTGCAATTTTCTGCCCATGAGCTTGTCTCTTAACTTCCATTATTTGCTCTGATGTATGATTGGAAAAATAAAATGTTACTGATACACACAACCTAAATGTAATCATATAAACAAAACAAATATGACTGATCTGGAACACATCTAAAAATACCCCCCCCCCCCAACCCCACCAAGAACATCAAAAAATAAACACCCGAAAAGAAAATCTGCTAAAATGTAAAAGAAAAAAAGATAACGGGCTCTCGACCTCTAATCAAACACTGATTACTGGTTCTAACAAAACAAATTTAACTGATCCGGAACACATCTAAAAATACCCCCCCCCCCCCAACCCCACCAAGAACATCAAAAAATAAACACCCGAAAAGAAAATCTGCTAAAATGTAAAAGAAAAAAAGATAACGGGCTCTCGACCTCTAATCAAACACTGATTACTGGTTCTGTGTTCTTTTGCATCTGCATCCCTGGATCTGGATTATGAGGCTAAAATTATTCCCCAAAAGTTTAATTTTCCTAATCACTACTCATCCACCCTGTTTTTTTTAATATATCTATATATATATATAGTTTTAATACATACATGACCCAACAAAAGTAAGTTGGTTAAATAGTTGAATATGCTTGCACAAGTTAAAATTTTAAGTTATATACATTCACTTGAAGTGGTTCAATGAGATCTCCATCTCTAAAAACTTACGAATTGAGCTTCTCTCCTGAAGCTTATTTAGTTTAAAGTTTGCCAGCTTTTGCTCCTGTTCCTCAATTTCTCTCTGTAACCTAAGCTGAGTGCGGGACTCGATAGCACTGTTCTGCATTTCCTGTTTATAAGGTATTTCTTGGTAATAAATTTTAAAAAGATTTTAACCTCATTTAAAAGAAACATTTAATTTTTTGTTATATATTATTACGAAATCTTAAAAATAGCAGGATCTTTACACAAAAACACTAGTAAATAAGAAATAGTTTTTTTTTTTTAGAGACGCAAACAACCATACAATTTTCTAGCTCCTGCCTTATAGTTATATGGGAAAAAGAGCAACAACAAAAAATTAATAAAACAAATTTGTCAGGTAATACCTGCAATTTATCTGAAGCATGATACCCTCTGAATACAACCTTTTGAACTTTAAACCCCACCCTGTCTGCTCTATGCTGCAGTTGAGGATAGGTGTCAAGGTCACTTATTAGACTTGTCTTTTCTATGAACTGTTCATAACTGTGCAGTGACAAAGTAAACAATATATCTTTATCAGAACTATTGCAAAATTATCACTCATACAATTTTGGTTTATTACAAATTCTGATTTGATTAATGTGTCAAATAACTATTTGCTTTATTTTTGCAACTTATGTGAATTTGGATGTAATTTACATACAATTTCACTACAGTTAAATTAAACATTATTGCTACCGGTACACATTTAAAAAAAAAATATTCATACATTTTTCAGATACCGGCACACACATATAATATATACTTACGTCAGAGGTCCAACAAATGATATGACATCAGCACACAAAGCACTGTAGAAAAAAAATTATGACATATTAAGCAGTTGAACAATGCACAGAGATAAAATATTTTTAATTAAAAAAACAAAATGACAATTGATTAAACTAAAAGATATAGTACCTGCTAATTTTAGTATATAACATAAACAGTGCAACAAAAGCCAACTCAGAAAAAAAAATTGTTTAAAAACTCACTTGATCAAATCAGCTATGGGGTCATGGGTTACATCAAGCTGAGGATTGAGAACACTGAACTAATTTTTGAATTCTTTTTTCTTAATCCTCAAACATAAAGATGAACAGATTGGGCATGATCATTTAAAAATAATTTATTGAGACAGATTCACTCTAAAAAAAATCAGTGTTAGATATTTTTTTTTTAATTTCTAAAGGAGAGATGAGGCTGGTGCAAAAATTAAATATCTGTACTTTGATCTTTAAGGACATGTTGAGTATTCACTAAAAATTTTTTAAAAAATGCCCTACCATTTTCAGGACATCAACAATTTCATAGAACAGCATCACCTTTACTGTCAACATTGTATCATCATTAGTTCTCACTTCGTTCACCTGGAAGCAATAATAGTTTTTTACAGAATCTTTTGATACAATTACAAGTGCATAAACTATCTTAAAGTTTTTCTTCTTCATATGTTGATATTACTAACCTTGCTCAAACGCATTAAAAAATTTATAATAAATCCTCTACATTGTTTTTTAAAAGCATAATCTGGTCTATAACTTTAAGAAAAAAATAGTTTAACTCAATATTGTGGATAGTGCTACTATAAATGATTAGTTAAAGTTAAAGTGATATTAAGGAAAAGATGTTAACATGGACTTAGCATTTCTTTTAGTTTTTCTTTGCACCTAAACTGCTTATATCACAGAAATATTAAAAAATACTTTACATTGTAGTAGAAATTGTCTGGTATAATAGGCAGCTGGATGAATTTGTTAAGTCCAGGGACCATTCTTGTTTTATTAGCAGGATCAGTCCCATGCCACTGAAACTCATGGGGCCTGAATAGCATAATTTATTATATTGAATTTGGAAGACATAAAAACTTTTTTTTTTAATTTTAAAACTTAAAAAAAAAATAGTATATCAATCCTTCACCAATCCCATGAAATATATAGCATTATTTTAAAGTTTAGAGTCAATGATCATAAAAATTTACATTTACCATTCTTCTGCTTCAGGAATGAATACAGCAGGTCCAGGAATAATTCTTCTTTGAGCTTCACCCCCTTTGAGTCTCTTGTAAACTACCAAAAGGTGATTGGCATCAATGCATTGAGCATGCTTCTTCTCACAATTGCGGAATTCCAAGTGGTTGTGAAACACTTGACAAGGACTGCATTAGAAGAAGTTTATATCTGAGATAAATTAAAGACAGGCTAATTCAAAATTATTTAATTTTAATAACACGAGTGTGATTTGCTGACTACTTATCATTTATTTTTTCGTTTTTTTTTATTATAAGAATATGGCATCCTTCCGTCTTCGCGAGATTATAAGAATATGCATCTTATTTTATTACATCTGAAAAAGGTTGATTCACAGAAGGACCATTGACATACCCAGGTTTGTTAATGATGGAGCCATTATTCTCTTGAATCTGAATGTAGGCATACTTATCTGCAGTGTGTGATTTCAATTGATGAAATCGTTCCCTGAATAGAAAAACCTGTGTCAAATTGAACAAAATAAGTTGTTTGAAATTGCATTCAAAATTGCTGCTATGTAAGATTAACAAATAAATATAATAAGAGCCGTTTCAAGCCTTTCAGCATTTGCAGTATATGTTGTTGTTTTTTTTGCCAAAATAGAACTCCTCCAAATCCATATTTTGATTGATACTTTTTTCCTCATCAATTTATCATTATTTAATGGTATCCTGTATCTTTTAAAATACTCCTTAATCATTGAATTAATTCATATTTTGTCATCACAGAATATTGATCATTTTATTTTAATTAAACTTGTAGTATGTACTTCAAAATACTGAAAGTATTTTAATTTTTATTGGTGTAGTCTTACTTACTATTATTAGAATTCATAGTTCAATTTGAGTTTGAGATCAAATAATAATGGCACAGAATTAATAATCAAATCAAATTCCTTCTTAAATTTTAGTACCCTCTTAGGTCCAACAATGAGTTTCCCTCGACCAAGATGGTTTAAAATTACAGCTTGCTCTCCCTCTCTGACAGTTTTAAACTTCATTTGGCTAAGGATTGAGGTCACACTGTGAATGCTAAGAACAAATAAATATTTAAAATGTTGAAATTCTCTGTAACTTGTTGTCTTTAAAATTATAAATAAAAGTACTTAAGACTTAGTCTTGGTTAATTATTAACTAAATATTAGTAGGTTATCATATTAGGGGCCACCTCTCTCATCAGAAACACACAATTGAGACACCTTCATAATATATCTTCCCAGTGTCAGTACGTGAGTAAGCTAGTATCTGTATTAATAGTAGTATAGTATAGCATGGTCAGTAATGGCCTATCTTAACTATGTATTGTGTATAACTTATAGCTACTATAATGACTATAGCCTTTTAAGACCAGTAGTATATAATTTGTATAATTATAAACACACTCACATGTGACATTACAGTATATAAATGATTTATTCTTAACTTATATTAAAACATTAGAGGCTAATAATGGAATAGTTTCTTTAATTATTTAGTAAATTAGTTGGTTAAGTAAACAGTTTAGGCCTACTAAAGTTATAGCATAATTTTAAAAGATCTTTTCTAGCTATCAAGTATTAATAAATATAAATATAGGCCTATTATCCTAGACCAGGGTGTGCTCACAACCCTAGCCCTTACTCTTACTTTGCTAGAGTTAGAGGGGTGCAGGAGGCAGTGTCAGGGGGTAGTATTAGAAGACCCAGGACCAGGATTGTTTAAAGGAAAACACTAAAAACTAAAAATTCAAAATACATATTAACATATTACAAAGAACAATAATGCTCAAATTTATTTTATTGAATAAGTGTTGAAATCAAGGGATGCTGAAAAAAAAACCAACTAAAGTTAAACTGAAGAAGTACATTTTTAAACTTATAGTCCATTCAATTATCTTTCATTTGATAACAAATTTTGTCTCTTAAACCCAACAATAATATTTTTAATATTTTTTAATAAACCCAACCTCTTACTCTGAATCCCGAGTCCGGATAGCCGCATCCTAAAAATTAATCCTCTTGGGAGGGGATCGGCCCAGGGTGGAATATAGAAAAAGACGGCTGTCCGAACTATCGGCCCGATAATTCAAGTCTTAAGATTGGCTGGCTAGTCTTCGTACCAGCGAATTAGATTGCTTCTTACATGTTCCTGCACATTGCATTGTAATGGCGGCCAGTTTTGATAGATAACTAGCTTTTGCTGTGTTCAGGAGTAATTTTTTTGTGTGTGGCAAATATTATAAAATTCAAAAATATCTGAAAGTGACACTGATCAAACTATCCTAGTGATTATAATATTCTAGCAATGGATCTGACACTAATAAAAACATCCAGGAAAGCAATGAAGACTATCAAAATTTTAATAGACTATCAAAATTTTAATGTTTTTCCCAATGTTGTGAAGCCTTGGTTCAGTATTAGGCTATTTGGGGTCCTCAACTGGATAGAGATGACCCCTCTGAATTTTTAGACAACACATAGGTTCAATAAATAAGGCAGAAGCACCCCATTTGAGTACTTTATCCTATTTTTTACACTAAATATCACTCAAATGTTTATGAGAGAGACCAATAGATTTGCAGACAATTTTGTCAGTAATACCCAGCTTAAGAGAAGGTCCCTGGATCATAAATGGGGGCCTGTTACCGTTACAGTGAGTGTCTGTAGCAACTGAAAAATAGCCAGGGGCAGGAAAAGGAGTAGAACCTTCATGACCATGTGCCAGGGCTGTCTGAAGGGCCTCAACTGGCCTTGTTTCCCAATGACACAACTGTTAGGATTTATTCAGGCTTCATTCATCAAAAAATTCACACAATTGTTACAAATAAGTCATGTTTATTTTAAGTTCATTAAAAAATTACACACATAAATTATGCAAATCAGGATAGCTCATTTGCATAAATGCTGAGATGTAAGTTTGATTCACAAAGATTATATTAGTTCATTCAATTTTCTTCATGAGTATATATATTATATTTCTGGTTATATATATTTAAAGGAAATAGTTAATTTTTTCATAAATTTTTTTGCAATGCGAGTGCCGAGCTCGCAAAAAGTGCTCCGTCTTTTTTGGCACAGACACGACGAAAAGGCTCCGTCCCGAAAGGGTTAATTGCATTATAATATTTGTTAGTACCGGATAATTCTTAAAAAGTTAATATAATATAATATAGTAATAGTAAAATCGGTAAGTAATAGTATTTGGCCTAATTAATTATTTCTTTTATAAAATTCTTAACTCAGCAATGATTTATAATCAATAATCGAATATAATTACCGTAATTAAAATTGTAAGTGTAAATAGTGTAAGCCTTTGACTCCAACAAGATAAGCCCTTTTATTTTTTTATATACGGGCAATGAAAGTCAGCAACTCATAGCATAGTAACTGTATTGTATCACACTGTATGAAAATAAAGTAATATGCATGACAACATGCATGATTTAATAATATATTGTGGCTGGTACTGGTAGCAGTAGTCAGTCAGTAGCAGTCTCGAATTTTAATTTATTTAAATAAATTACTTTAAAAAAACAAAAACAAAACTATTTTCTGAGTTCATTGTTGGGATTGACGAATTCGGCGAAGGATTGCAATAATTTACATTTTTTGTAAATTTCGTCATTTTAAAATTGATAAGTTAAGGCTAAGGCATGGTACTGGTACTGATTTAGAACCATCGACGTCCATGTCCGTAGCCATAGTCATATACATGGTAAACACTAATTAAAAACTTTAAACAATATTATGTTTTTTAAATTAATTAATATTACAATTAATTTTAAGACAAGAGAGAAGATTTGGTTTATCACTATCACGGATGCTTATAATAATGCAAGTTACCAATTTTCTAAAAATAAACATTGCACTACTTATTACTTGAGGAATTTAAAATAAAATACCGTAAAGCTATTAACAATAGTGAATCTTAAATAGTGTTCATAAAAGACGATCTGCAATAAGTTTAAAAAGTAATTAAGGTAGGTCGCAAATTATGATTCCATATCATATCTTATTAGTTATAGCTTAATGCATGCAATGATATTATTCCAAACTATGAAATTAAAAAAGGAAAAGACAAGTCAAAGTAAAGGCTGCAATGAACTGTAAAAAAAAAAAAAAAAAAAAAAAAAAATATTAGTTAAAGATTAATGCATGCAATGATATTATTCCAAACTATGAAATTAAAAAAGGAAAAGACAAGTCAAAGTAAAGGCTGCAATGAACTGTAAAAAAAAAAAAAAAAAAAAAAAACTTTACTATAAGCTTCTTTTTTTAATTTACGGAAAAAAGGTTAAAAAAAAAAATAAGTCAATAAAGTAAGTTCTATTATTTAACTTATTTTCTTGTACATAAATTGTAATATAAGTCAATAAGTTCTATTATTTAACTCATGTTCTTGTACATTAAATGTATATCAATCATTAATTGTAAAATTTAATCAAGAATGATGCAAATAACGGGAACAAGAGTCCGTCAAACACGACTGTGTGAAACTTCGGAGGGGATGACTAAGTTGGCTAACAAAAACTTAGGACGGGGGGTGGGGTGGGGTGTGTGCCAAAGCTCAGTATTTTACACCAGGCAATTTTTTTGAAGTTTCGTTGGCAATAGATGTTTGTTGATTTGTTTTATTTAGTACCGCTGGAATTTAACTCAAGTAAGTCCTGTCAACAAGTTACACAAAGAGTAATCATGTACTTAATATTTCAGCAATTTTTTGTATAATAGCCTATAGCTTTCATAATAATAAAACATATTTTAAGATCCATTGCTTTGTTCAATTTCGTGTGTAAATGAAAAACTATTCAATATTATGATCTCAATTTCATAAAAGTAATTTAAGGGCCTTTGTTAATATGTTTAATAATAGCAGATTTTGGGGTGTAGGAAGGTGGGGCTGCCGAAGAAGGGACAAACCACCTTGGGCGGCACTTTTTATATATATATTGGCGGCATTTTTTACCAATTGCAGAGGTTTATTTTTATTTACGTGGAAGGTGTAACACGATTCTCGATCCACCCCGGGCGGCATTAACTCCAGCTAAGCCTCTGAGAAGAGTCCCATATTTATAAGTTAATATAAATATAAGCCCTATAGACTAGATAATACTTTTACTATATATTACAATGGATAACAAAATGAATATTGTCAATAAGCGAAATACCAATAAAATAGATTATCAGAAATCAAGCAACTCTCGTTTCTACATCAAGCACGTGTCCGAAAAAAATTTAGTTACTTTTAATGCATGCCCATGCACGTGCGCTTTATTTACCAGAACATTTATTTGCATCTTTACGGTAAATAAATTATACCGGTTCACGTGAGGAAGGAAACAGTGAATTTCTTATGTTTGTAATTACGCTGAAAAATATATTCCGTTGTATATTAATAATTGAAGTTATAGATAAAATAACAAAATTGAAATCAAACAAAATAAAGTAAAATATATAACTATTTTAAAATGAGATCTTTTACATTTAGAGAAATGTCATCCTATGCTTTTTGAAAAATTGCATTCCTGAATTTTTTAAGTTCTTCCGCGTACGCTTGGCAGCAAGGACGCCATTTTTGTCACATGTTCACTTTTTCATCTCACATGACCTCTTGTTTGGCCCCGTGATCAAGCTCCCACTGTCTCCAGGCAAATTCAAACATATAGCTGGAGATATTATCATGGAAATGCTTGAGCAAGCTCTTGATTCCAGGTATCAAAACGCGTTTGAAAGGTATTTTAATTGTGATTGTTACAATTTTTAATTTTATTACGTATTTCATGTCCTCGATATTTTCTCAGATTCCAAGGCCTTTCGTGCATCCGTTTTCTTTTCGCACGTGGCGAAAGTCTAAATTTAGCTTTTCCAGAGCACTGGTTAATTCAGCAGTTTGGTCCATAGAATATTTAAGAGTTTAAAAATTTATCGTAATACCCTCTCTCTGTAAGCCACTTCTCTCCTACTTCAAAACAGCTAACTAGGTCACCACTAATGCACCCTCTAAAGTAGTAGTAGGACTAGTTAGCTTATGATTATGATTAATAATCTATACTATAAATCACTATAAATTATAATTATAAAAAAAGAACATTAATTTATAATTTGAGCCTAGGATGTGCTATTGAAAATTGACTTCTCTAATCTAATCAAAGTAAGTTGTCCTTAAAATGACTTTTCACATTTTTTTTTATACACACAAAAGCAGGTATGTCCTTCCTATGCATTTAACTTTAATGTAAATCAGTTCTTGAAGAATAATAATATTGTCAATATTGATGAGAAAGTTAAGTAATAGTTCAGTAGAGCTTAGCAGCTTGAAAGGTCAAACCTTGTAGGGGGAGGAAGATGTAATAAGCAACTGTTGGGCCTATTTATCATTCACTGAGAAATGGGTAGCTTATTATATTGGTATACAGTCATACTATTTTTTTAACATTTCCAAACCCTCACAATACATTGTCAAAAATTCTTGACAACCACCCCTCTGTGACATCATTTGTGAATAGCCCCTTTTGGGCCCTAATAATATCGGTATCTGGTGCCCAGTTTCACCCACTGCCAACTCGATAGCTCTGATATAACAATATGACAATTGGTTAAGAATAATTGATCATTAGAGAAGTAGGCCTATGTAGTCACCCTCTGTTTTAAAAGAGACACACATTCACATTTAATAAAAGTTATTTTACTATTGTACACATTTTAGGTTAATATTTATTATGATATCAGATTTTTTTTCTCTGGAGGTTGACAGGTATACGATCATTCTCTGGACACTAAGACAGTGAATAGCATTTTAATGGCCTCTATACTATGATTTTGCTCTGTAAATGTTAAGTTGGTTGATATAATTTGTTAAGGAAGTTATTATTAGTTTCCTCAAAGCACATAAAATACATGTCAGTGAAAAAATAGTACTTTTCCTTGGTAGTAAGTGAAAGAAGAGCATTTTTTCGTTTATATAGCCAAGTAGTGCTGAAGGATCTGTAGGGCTGGTGCAAGGAACTGAGGGAACAGGGCGAAAAGTAAGCATATGACACCAACTTTATTGGATAAGCTTTTTAAACATAGTCATTGAATGATGCTTTTATTATTTTTATTATTCTTTCTTGCGTTAGTGTAATGAGCATCAAACTAACAGCTTTATCATCTGAGGTAGGCAATGCATTTAGGGATTTGTTACTACATCAAAATTTGAAGGCAGTGGTTTCTAAAAACTGCCAAAAGCTGTCTGCAAATCTTCCTTTTGTTTTTTTTTTGGTCTAAACCTTTTTTTTAAAAAAAATTTTAATTTTCCAGACGTTTTTTTTCAAAAAAAAAAAAAAAAAAAAAAAAATGTAGCTTATCAAGTATTTGAATAGAAAGCAACAATTTTGTGCTTATATTAAGTTTAACAAAGTTATTGCTCAAATGTCGCTTTATGCCTGTCAACCTCCTGTGTATCATCTATTTCATTATTGTTTCTGCAATTCTCAACAAAAAAAGAAGTACATCATAACATTGTCAGAAATCAGAATAGTGTAAATTTCAAAATTTAAAAAAAAGAAAGAAACATAGCCGAGAAGAGTTAAATATTAATTTAAAAAATATGTAATTATAAGTCTAAAAAATAATTGATCAGTGTTGAACATAACAATTAATTTGTTACTTTATAATTTTTTTTTATAGTCAAGACAAGAGTAACGATTCAGCTGATCAAGACGAAATGCGTCTTTCATCATCAGTCGACACAGATTTAGGTAAGAAAATGAAATTTTTTAATGCAGTCAGGGGTGACACTAAAAGACTTGAGAATAGAAAGAAAGCATTTTATTGTATCAAGTCATTGCAAAAATAGAACGCATTTGTTTTTATTGAGAAAATTTCTTTGTGAAGAATCTACCAATACAGTACAGGTTTTTATCTGAAATGTAGCCTTGTTAAAATAATATGATTAGCTCAATAAATGTATTTTCAATCATTGGTGTATGGTTCTTTTCATAATTCCAAGTGGCTTTGACTGTTTTTCCAATGATAAACATGAAATATTTGCTGATAAAATGTAGCAAAATATAACCCATGGTTCCTTTGTAGAAAAAGTTCAATTTTAGAAAAATGAGTTTGTGCAAACCATAAAGCATTTTAGTGTCACTGAAGAGGACTGCACATTTTGTACGATTGCTGATTGAGTAAAACAAAAATAAAAGTTATAAAAAATCATTGTTGCTTTTAAGCATAAAATATATTTGCAACAATGATTATGATGGTAATATTATTCAAATAAACTTGAAAGAACTTGTGACATCAAGTCCTTATAGTTCTAGTAATTTTAGGGGTTTGCAGTCTACTTTGCCATATTTATTAGAAAACTTATTATGAATATATGAAATCCCTTTTTCATTAATAATACCAGAATAATTTTAGGGTCAAGACAATTTTTACAGGTTTGCAGTAAAAATGACAAATGTAAAATACCCCTTCCCTACTAGACGAGAGTTTTAAAGAAGGCTTTTGACCTTATTGTTGTGTAGCCATCAATTTTAAGTAAATGACTGCTTTAAAGGGTGTTTTTCATTTCACTTTTTACATCTTCCTGTCTTGTTTGTAATAATCTACAATGCAGTGGGTTATTTTTTATTCTGTAAATTCATTATTCTCCCTGTTATCAACCATATGAAAGGCTTTTGACGCTAAAATAAAAATATGCTTCATGACTGGGGCAGGGCATATCAATTACATATTATTTAGAAATGCATTGGGTTGAGGTGTTGCCAGGACAATATTATTTTTTCTGTTGAAATGAATATAACATTTCTAGTTAAGCTTGGTTTGATATGAAAG